AAGGAGGACTGGAACTGCCTTGAAGACGGTGGGATGACGGCACAAGGGGACAGAAGTGGCACAAGGGGACAGAAGCAGCACAAGCAAAGGTGCAACGTAGCAGAGATGGGAATGTGACTCTGGAGCTGGCAGGGCCTGGCTTTTTGTCTCCTGGAGACTATGGGCTCTGTCCTGGAGGCCGTGGAGCGTTGGCATGTTTTTGAGGAGCGAGGCATCGTCAAGGAGGGCTTCAGAGTTAATCTTCAGGCCATCCAGGAATGAGGACTGTGTGGGATCCTGTGAGGTGCTCGGTGAGGCTCATCTCACCTATCTCCCGGGCGTAATATAGAGGCTTCTCTGTTCCTCAGAAATTGTACATCAGTTTCTTGATTACCCAAACCTCAGGATCCATTTCCTTCACATAGGATTTGAGGGTAGAGAAGCTCTCGTGCAGCTTGGGGCTGAGTGGGGCCCCTGTGGTTAGGGAGCCAGAGGGAGGCTGACCAGACACAGGCTCACCAACCCTGGCCTGCTCCTCAGGTCTGTCCTGGTGCTGAGACCAGGTGCCCTGTCCTCCAGGAAGTGGACACAGAAGAGCAGAGAGCCAGCGCACAGGGGAACCCACCAAATGCCCGTCCGTTGTCAGCGGTACCGGTGTTGCTGCCAGGAATGCAGCCCTCTTTGAACACAAGTTTCAGGGGAAGCTGGGAGATCTGGGAGTGGGCCTTAAGATTCAAATTTCAGTGGCTCCAAGCACTGACAGCTGCTGTTTCCATCCCCATAATAGGGATCAGACTACAGATGTGGTCACTGCCCTCGGCTGTCCGGCCACAGGTCTCCCAGACAGTGCCTGGGTGGCGTCTGCACACATCTGGATCTTCATGTGTCCATTTTCCTTTTTCCTCTGAGGCGTGGAGTCTAAGCGGAATGGAGGTTTCCTCAGACTTTCTCTAATGAGTGAACAAGTGTCTGCTGAGTTAAAGTCATTTCTCTTGCCCTCTTGGGAAATAAGTTTAGGATTGATGAAGCTTTAGAGTGACTCCAAACTATTTGGTAGCACACCTGCAATCTCTCATCTGTCCTCACAGACGCCCAACCGCACCCATTGTGAGTCCCTGGGGGGAATAACAGAAGCATGGGTTTGGGGCCGGACAGATGGATCTGAATTCACTTAGTATGCAGTCATAGACAATCTGTGTAACCTCCAACCTTAGTCTTCTTACCTGTAAGATGGTGATGTTAATACCTGCCTGGTGCGTGTGGGGCACTCAGCACAACCTGGCACGTGGCAGGTACTCAATGAATGTCAGATACTATTCTCATCACGTGGATTTTACCAGGTTCATGCCCAAAGGGCAGCAGTATCTCTATGAGCTCTGAGTGCTTAGGAGATAACTGTTTCCTTCAGTTAGTGACAAGACCCAGGCTCTGACTTACAGCTCCTCAGCTCGTGCTGTGCATTTTATCTTTAACCACAGCCACCTAGAAGCCCTCCCTGGGGCTACCAGTAGTTCTGACTCTCCACAGACCCCAGCTGGTCCATGAGGGTCCCCGCCACCAAGGACAGTCCCCACAGTCCTCAGACCCCAGGGTGCCGCCTCCCTCATCATCTGCGCAGACCTTAACAAGCCCCAGGGGACCAGGGCCTCTTCAAGTTGGGTGATCAAGCGCCCCAGCGGAGTCAGCGACCGTCCTACGCCTACAATTGTATCGCAGACCGCGCGACTCCTTTACGCTCGGCAGGCCCTGCACTCGGAACCCGGCCCACCCGGGAGGCCTCGTTAGCCGACTCCCGTCGGCCGCCCGCCTCACCAGTCAATAAGCAGCCCTGTGCCAGCCTCCGTTGGACCGACCGCAGGGGAAGGTCCCCTGGGGCCAAGTCGCCTCCACCCTGCGGCAGCCGCCACTGCTCACGATGCTGGGGCCTAGCGATCCCCAAGTCAAGGGATGAAAGAGAACCGCCGGGGCCCCGCCCGAAACTCCGCTCTCCAACCCTCGGTTTCCCCAGCCCCTCTGCCACAGCCGACCGAGGAGGGCGGGCCGCCGAGCACCATAGAGTCGACGGTCTTCCCTGCGTCCTAGAGCGACTCGAGGGCGCACGCGCAGGCCCCGCCCCGGGACCACTTCCGGCGGTGCGGCCAGTCCCGCGGGTGGGCTCGGCCTCTTGGGGGCGCCCGGGTCTCCGCGAGGCGCCGTCTGACGTTGGTTAAGGGCGGATGTGACTGAGGTCCCCTCAGTTAAGGGCATCTGGGCCTGCAGAGGCGGAGGTGGCCCAGGCGGCTTCCGCGATATGCTCGGTCTAGGGAAGCCCCTCAGAACGCAGCTCAGTGCGAACGAAAATCCTGTATCTCCAGGCTGACTTCTCGAGCACGTGTCAAACTTTCCCAGGAATCCGGTCCGATTTACGGTCTCATTCTGCATTCGCTGGGACTGCGGCCCTTGAGGGCTCGAGTCTCCAGCCCTAGTTGACTCCAGTTACTGTCCGTCTAGGCCCGGTGAGGCGTATCTCCTTGTGGTTGTGACTTGCATATCCCTGAGAGCGAATTATGTTGAGCATCATTTCACGTGCTTGTGGACCATCTGTATATCTTTTTTGCCCAAATACCCATTCAAATCCTTTCCCAATTTTTAAATTATTTATCTTTTTACTGTTGAATTGTGAGAGTTATTTATATGTTCTGGATACAAGTCCCTTATTTCAAATATATGGTTTTCGAATATTTTCACACTTCCGTGCGTTGTCTTTTCACTGTCTTGATAGTATCATTTGCAGCACAAAAGGTCTTAATTTTAATGTGGTCCGATATTTCTAGTTTTGTTTTGTCATGTGCTTTTGGTGTCTTTTTCAAAGAATCTGCTTTTGGTTTTATTCATCCACTCTGTTTCCTTTTTTTTTTTTTTTTTGGCGCATCGCTGAGGGATCTTAGTTCCCCCACCAGGGACTGACCCCTGCCGACAGTGAAAGTGCCAAGTTCTAACCACTGGACTGCCAAGGAATTCCCTGTTTTTATTTATTTATTTATTTATTTATTTATTTATTTTATTTGGCTGTGTTGGGTCTTCATTGCTGCGCATGGGCTTTTTCTAGTTGCGGTGAGCGGGGGATACTCTTTATTGCGGTGCACGGCCTTCTCATTGCGGTGGCCTCTCCTGTTGCGGATCACGGGCTCTAGGCACGTGGGCTCTAGAGCACAGGCTCAGTAGTTGTGGCGCCAGGGCTTGGTTGCTCCGCGGCACGTGGGATCTTCCCAGACCGGGGCTTGAACCCGTGTCCCCTGAATTGGCAGGCAGATTCTTAACCACTGCACCACCAGGAAAGTCCCAGTTCATTTTCTCTTTATTATTTCTTTCTACTTCCTTTAGGTTTGGTATTTTTTGTCTAGCTTAAGTTGAACATTTAATTTGATTTTTAAAATTCTGACTCACAATTATTAAAGGACAAGTTATTTGCTAAAAGCTTATAAATTAATGGTCAGAAAATTGGACTTAGTGATAGGCTGGTTTCTTCAAGCTTCTAGGTAATAGAAGTTGAAGAAGGTAGTAAGGGAAAGGGAAGGCCCTGGATATTTTATGGGAGGGAAATGGGCAAAAAGAGAACAAAATTCAGGATAAATGGAAGAAAAGGGCTGCCTTTTTCTCCTGACTCCCTGGAATTTGTTTAATAAGTACGGGAACAGAAGCAGATACTGTGGTTTTTCTATAGCTATCTTTTACAAGTCGATATTTCTTGCTTTTGGATCACATGGATTTAGAAAAGATATCGTTTTGTTTTTAGGCTTTTTAAAATTTTTATTTTATTTATTTTATTTTTGGCTGTGTTGGGTCTTCGTTGCTGTGCGTGGGCTTTTCTCTGGTTGTGGTGAGCAAGGGCTACTCTTCATTGTGGTGCACAGGCTTTTCATTGCTGTGGCTTCTCTTGTTGGAGAGCACAGGCTCTAGGCGCATGGGCTTCAGTAGTTCTGGCACGGGGGCTCAGTAGTTGTGGCTTGTGAGCTCTAGAGCGCAGGCTCAGTAGCTCAGTGGTTGTGGCGCACTGGTTTAGTTGCTCCGTGACATGTGGGATCTTCCCGGACCAGGGCTCGAACCCATGTCCCCTGAATTGGCAGGAGGATTCTTAACAACTGCACCACCAGGGAAGCCCTGACATTAAAATACCACTTTATGGAGATAAACGCACATGCCATCAATTCACCTATTCAAAGTGAACAACTGAGAAGCAAAGTTCGCGCGCATTTTTGTGCAGGCTAGCCTCCCCGCCCAAGGTCTGTACTGGGCAACCCCCCCACCCCACCCCCCCACCCCCGTGCCCCCAGACCCCGGCGGAGACACCCCCCGCTTTTCGAGTCCAAACCAGGTAGCAGCCATTCGAGCGGAGGACAACCGAAAGTGCGTCCTGCCCGGTCGGACCCGTAAGACCAACCAGGCGGCCTAGGCCCCGCCCCTAAGGCCGCGGATCACCGAGGGCGGGTCCTCCCGCTGTCCTAGAGCTGACCCCGGAGGGGGTAGGGGGTCTCTAGGTCGCTTCCGGGAACCGGGCCGCGCTTCCGGCCGTGCGCGCCTCTCTGCTCCGCTGGGGACCCCGCGCCAGGTACGGGGCCGCAGCGGGAAGCGGGGTTGGGTGTGGGTGTGGGTCTCCCTGCTCGCGAGGCGGCGAACGCTGTGGAGGCAGGAGGCCGATCCGGCAGCTCGGGACCGGACCGCAGGGCACTGACCGCGGCCGGGGCGGCGGCGCGGAAGAGCTTGGGTGGCCGCCTCGGGGCGCTCCTTCCTCCGGGCCGGGGGGCAGCGCGCTGGCCTCCAGGGACTGGGGCCTGAGCTGCAGGCGGCTGGGCTGCGGAAGGCTGTCCCGATACTGGCCAGGCCCTGAAGGAAAACCCGTGGGTAGTCGTTGGCAGCCGGGGTGAGGGGGCCCGGCCTTCCCGGGAGAGTGGGGTACGAGGAAACCGGTGGGGAGCTCCCCGTGCGCCCGGGCCCGCCGCGCTGAGGCCCGCAGGCCAGGGGTGGGGGCGCCTTGGGGACAGCTCTGCTCGGCACCTGGCGCGGCTGCGGTTGGCCGGGCGCTCCTGCAGAAGCAGGTGTGGGGTGTCGTGCTGTCCTTCACGTGACGTCTCAGCCCTTTTCTCCAGGTACTGCACCCACCTCTCTTAAAACCTGCGCCTCAGCCCTTCCTGCCTGAGGGACGCCGTCTGGTTCCCCCCTGCAGGGACTTCTGAGTGGACGGGCCTGGGTTCTAGTCCTTGACTTGAGCAGTTGTTTCCGCCTCGATTTCCTTGTTGGTGGGGTGAGAACGATAACCCGCTCGTGCAGAGCCGTGTGAGGCTTGGAGGTGGAGTGGCTGAGTGATCTTGGAGCGGTCAGTGGCAGCGGCAGTGGCTGTTGTGTCCTTGTGTTCTCTGGGCCTTTCTTCTCCTTCATTCTTTAATCCGTTATTTATTTGGAGAACTTACGTTGTTCTCCTGTTTCCTGATTCTCTTCCTTCTCTCCCCCCCACCTCATCTCCCTTTTCTGCCGGCTCCTGCCTCCCCTCTTCCAGGGACTGGAGAGGGGCCCCTCCGCCACCTGCTTCCAGGGCACCTTCTGTCATGCTGGCTGTCATCAGTGGTTCACACCATCAGCATCTGGGAGGTGGAGACCATATCAGTTCTCATTCACTGGCCCAAAGGACATGGGAGTCACTGGGCTTCTCTTCCACCCCCCTTCCAGGCAGTTGCGGCTGGGACCTCCTACCTGGGCTGCCGGTCAAAGAGCAGGAAGCAGCGATGTCTGCCATGGGTCCTGCAGCTCCACTCCTGCATCGCCCTGGTGACAGTCACAGTGGCTGCATGAGTTTCCTGGGCGCCCAGCTGCCTCCAGAGGTGGCAGCAATGCCCCAGCTCCTGAGGGACCTGGACAGGGGCACATTCAGAAAGTTGCTGAAGCTGGTGGTCAGCAGTCTGCAGGGGGAAGACTGCCGTGAGGCTGTGCGGCGCCTCGGGGCTGGCACAGACCTACCTGAGGAGCGGCTGGGTGCCCTGATCGCTGGCACACACACCCTGCTCCAGCAGGCCCTCCGGCTGCCCCCGGCCAGCCTGAAGCCCGATGCCTTCAAGAACCAGCTCCAGGAGCTCTGCATCCCCCAAGACCTGGTCGTGGACTTGGCCAGTGTGGTGTTTGGGAGCCAGCGGCCTCTCCTTGACTCTGCGGCCAGGCAGCAGGGGGCCTGGTTGCCCCATGTTGCTGACTTCCGGTGGAGGGTGGACGTGGCCATCTCCACCAGCTCCCTGGCCCGCTCCCTGCAGCCAAGTGTCCTGATGCAGCTGAAGCTCTCGGATGGGTCGGCCCTCCGCTTCGAGGTCCCCACGGCCAAGTTCCAGGAGCTGCGGTTCGGTGTGGCCATGGTCCTGAAGGAGATGGCCGACCTGGAGAAGAGGTGCGAGCGCAAACTGCAGGACTGAGCCTTGCTCGCGGGTCCCCTTCTGGTCACTGGGGATAGCTGGCTCAGACAGGTGTCTCCAGAGCAAAGGCCACCCTTCCCAGGAGGCACTCCAGTGAGTGTTTGAGTATAATCGTGTATTTCTCTAAGTGAGGAAGACAGCTGTGTCTTTCCCTTTTTTTGGAAGTAAAGCAGCTACACAAAATATGTTCTCCTGGGTAGGCATCAAACTGCAGGCCGCGTCCCCCCAGCTGTCAGTTGGTCTTGTTGCCAGGTAAGGGCACCCACTGTTCCAGTGTGGCCATATGTGGTCTAGTCACAGTCTGGGGTCCAGGCCAAGGCCTTTGTGAGGACCCAGAGGTTGCTCAGGCTGCCCCCACCTAACGACTGAGCTCTTGCTCCTGTGATTTTGGGAACCCTGTGCTTCAGGGTGCACATTTCATTCCCCTGTCTTAAATCCATGACCTTATGGAGAGCATTCTAGTGGGGCGAGGGAGGCATTATGAAGTGCATAATACAGACAAGTGGTGTAGCTCGTGGGAGGATGGGAAGTGGTGCAGAAAGTAGAGCAGCCTTTGGAGATGGGGGACAAGGCTGTGGGAGAACTGGGCTGTCATTTTAAATTGGGTCGTGGGGGGACTTCCCTGGTGGCCCAGTGGTCAAGAATCCTCCTTCCAACGCAGGGGACGTGGGTTTGATCACTGGTTGGGGAACTAAGATCCCACATACCATGGGGCAACTAAGCCTGCGTGCCACAACTGCTGAGCCCACGTGCCGCAAACTACAGAGCCCACATGCTCTGGAGCCCATGCGCTGTAACTAGAAAGGAGCCTGCACGCTGCAACGAAAACCAGACTCAGCCAAAAAAAAAAAAAAATCAGGGCATGGGTTGCGCCTCCTTGAGGACATGGTACCTGAGCAAAGACTTAAAGGAGGTGAGGCGGAGGAAGCAGCCTGTGGTGCACAGGCCACATGGCTGCAGCCAAGTGGGGGCAAGGTGAGTGGAGGACACAGGGGGCAGCCCCGAGGGCCTCTCTAAGAGCTTTGGCTCAATTCTGAGTGAAATGAGTGTGATGTGACAGTTGTTTTCGAAGGATCACACTGGATGCTGTGTTGATAGCAGAGCCTGGGGCAGCAGGGTAGGAATTGGAAGTCTGGTGGAGTTGGCGGTGGCAGGGGAGAGGGGAGCAGGGGCCTCACCTGGGTGCCTCTAGGGTGGGAGTGTGCAGAGCCCGTGGCCAGCCCTGCACCCTCCAGCATAACCACACCCCAGGTAGGGGCCTGGTGTGTCCCTGCCTCCATGCTCTGCCACAAAACCAGGTCACAGGTCTTGTAGTATTAATAGGCCCGAGCATCATGCAGGAACCTCCTCTGAAAACAGCAAATGAGCTTGGGTGCCCACCTGGCACCTGCCCTTCCCCAGCGCCCCCTTCCTGCCCCCTGCTCCATGCCACGACCCATCAAGAGTGGCAGTGTTTGTGCTGTTTCCAGAACACTCCCATGATCTTGGTTAATTAAGGCCTTTCCCTGAGTGAGGGTCCTAGCAAGTTAGGCGTGGGCCAAGGGCACAGAGGAGGCCACCCTAAGGTGCTGCTGTGCACTTGGAGCTAGAGTTTCAGACGCCAGGCCGCAGGTGGGGCCCCGTCTTGGCTCAGCTGAGGAGTGCAGACTCCCCAGGTCTCCTTCAGCGTCAGCTGGCATCCCTGGGCTCTGCTCCCCTGAGGACAGGAGCTGGACCGGGCTGTGCTCGCTGTTGCCTGGGCCTGCTCAGAACTTGCACAGGTAAGCTGAGCACCACATCTGCCTCCACCAGTGATGGAGGCTTTCCTGTCACAGTCACTGTGCTGTGACGTCTTCCTCGACCATTGGGCATGTGTCAGGAATATGTACTCATTATGATACGTTTGGAAAAGCCAAAAAAGTAAAACAAGCAAACAAAAAGATTCAAAAAGCTCCTTTGCCCATAGACGGTCATGGAGAAACTGTCTTGACCAGATTGACATTTATGCTCTGTGCAGTCTGTTTTAACACAGCTCTGTTCATGTAACTCTTCCTGATATGAGGGTCTGTCTAATGGCAGCAGAACATGCATCTTCCCGGTGGGTGTGCCAAATTTCTCTTGGGCAAAACAAACAAAGCACCACAGACGGGGCAGCCTATAAAACAACAGACATTGATTTCTCACAGTGCGGAGGCCGGATGTCCGAGGTCGGGGCCAGCAGGGGTGGGTGAAGCCCTCTTCCTGGCTGCAGACTTCTGTGTCCTCACGTGGAGGAAGGGGCAAGGGAGCTTTGTGGGGTCTCTTATCGGGGACTCCAGCTTCATGACCGAAGCACTTCTAAAGGCCCCACCTCATAACACCCTCACACTGGGCATTAGGATTTCAACATATACATATACATTTGGGGGACACAAACATTCAGACCAGAGCAACTTCTGTGTTTCATTTTTATTCTTAATTAAAAAATCACTGGGCTTGGGCTTCCCTGGTGGTGCAGTGGTTGAGAGTCCGCCTGCCAATGCAGGGGACACGGGTTCGTGCCCTGGTCCGGGAGGATCCCACGTGCCGCAGAGCGGCTGGGCCCGTGAGCCATGGCCGCTGGGCCTGCGCGTCCAGAGCCTGTGCTCCGCAATGGGAGAGGCCACAACAGTGAGAGGCCCGCGTACCACAAAAAAAAAAAAAAAAAAAAAAAATCACTGTGCTTCCCTGGTGGTGCAGTGGTTGAGAATCTGCCTGCCAGTGCAGGGGACACGGGTTCGAGCCCTGGTCTGGGAAGATCCCACATGCAGTGGGGCAACTGGGCCCGTGAGCCACAACTACTGAGCCTGTGCGTCTGGAGCTTGTGCTCTGCAACAAGAGAGGCCGCGACAGTGAGAGGCCCGCGCACTGTGATGAAAAGTGGCCCCCGCTTGCCGCAACTAGAGAAAGCCCTCGCACAGAAACGAAGACCCAACACAGCCAAAAATAAATAAATAATTTTTTAAAAAAATCACTGATGTTGGGACCTCCCTGGTGGCTAAGTAGTTAAGACTCTGTGCTCCTAATGCATGGGGCCCAGGTTCGATCCCTGGTCAGGGAACTAGATCCCACATGCTTGCTGCAACTAAGAGTTCGCATGCCACAAGTAAGGAGCCCTCGAGCTGCAACTAAGACCCGGTACAACCAAATAAATATTTTAAAAAATCACAGTGAGAACTTCCCTGGTGGCGCAGTGGTTAAGAATCCACCTGCCCAATGGGGGGGGCATGGGTTCGTTTCCTGGTCCAGGAGGATCCCACATGCCGTGAAGCAACTAAGCCCACGTGCTGCAACTACTAAGTCCATGTGCAGCAACTACTGAGCCCGCATGCTGCAACTACTGAAGCCCACACGCCTAGAGCCCGTGCTCTGCAACAAGAGAAGCCACCACAATGAGAAGCCCGCTTACCACAATGAAGAATAGCCACTGCTCTCCGCAACTAGAGAAAGCCCGCGCGCAGCAACGAAGACCCAACACGGCCAAAAAAAAAAAAAATCAGTGATGTTATGCAACTAGATATGTAACTAGAGATTATCGTACTAAGTGAAGTCAGACAAATACCATATGATATCACATGTTTGGAATCTAAAATGCATACGATACAAATGAACATATCTACGAAACACACATGGAGAACAGACTTGTGGTTGCCAAGTGAGGGGGGAGGGAAGGACTGGGAGTTTGGGATGAGCAGATGCAAACTAGGATACAATGAATGGACAAACAACAAGGTTCTACTGTAGAGCACAGGGAACTATATTCAATGTCCTGTGATGAACTGTAATGGAAAAGAATATGAAAAAATATATATGTATAACTGAATCACTTTGCTGTATACAAGAAATTAGCACAACATTGTAAGTCAACTATGCTTCAATAAAATTTTTTTAATCATTGATGTCAATAGGAAACGGTAGAAGGATTTTATATTAAAACTATTTAGAAGTAGGAACAGAGGAGGCAGAATGTGACCACTTTCCCCATTGAATCATTCCATGTGTAGACTTTTGTGTTGGTTTCTTAACACAGTGTTGTAAAAAAAGAATGTGATCATTTTAGGGGCTTCCCTTGGTGGCACAGTTGTTAAGAATCCTCCTGCCAATGCAGGGGACACAGGTTCGAGCCCTGGTCCAGGAAGATCCCACATGCCACGGAGCAACTTAAGCCCGTGCGCCACAACTACTGAGCCTGTAGTGCCACAGCTACTGAAGCCTGCTTGCCTAGAGCCCGTGCTCCGCAACAAGAGAAGCCACCGCAATGAGAAGCCCACGTGCCACAACGAAGAGTAGCCCCTGCTCTCCACAACTAGAGAAAGCCCGCGTGCAGTAACGAAGACCCAACGCAGCCAAGAATAAAGTTTTTTTTTTTAAAGAATGTGATCATGTTAAAGCCCTTGGTATTATGTCCCTAACGACCCAAAGCACGACCTCGAGCGCCCCCTACAGGCCAGGCGCTGTCGACCAGGCCCCAGCCGAGCGCAGAGAAGGTACAGGTGGAACCACCAGGTGCAGGCCCTCTGCCGACGCTTGTTAACTCATTAACTCACAGGCACGAGGCCTCTCCGCCTCACGGGTGACGAAGCGCAGAGGTTTGCGTCTTGCCTAACGACACACAGCTGATGGGGAAGCTGGCAGTCCGTTCTCCACCAGCCTTCCCTCCCCACCTGTCCTTAGTCCGCGGACTCTGTGGGCATGCGAACCTGGTGGCAGGACAGGCTCTTGTTGCCGGCTCCCGTGCCCTGAGCAGCTGCTGGCCCCAGAGTGAGGACACACGTTTAGGGTCGAGGGCCACGGGCTCGGGGGCATCTGTTTTGCCGGTTACCACAGCGAAGTTGGGCCAGTGCAACCAGGAACGGAGACCTGGGGTCCGAGCCCAGCCGACGTGCCCCAGCAGGTGCTCTGAGCTCTGCTGCCACGGAGTGGCCCCGTGGCTGCGACGCCGTGGCTCTAAGTCACGTGCCTGGCAGGGACACACACACACCCTCTTCCCGAGGGGCACTCCCATCATCCTCTCGGTTGTCCTGGCAGGCAGGGGTGCTTTTCCGACTGAGGCTGGGAGTCCTGCGAGTCAGCACCAGGATTTGCACACCCTTTTGCCCATCAGGCGGCAGAGACCCCCTTGTCCTTGTGCTCCTGGCGGGGGCTGTCTGGCTCTGTCTCCCCAGCCCTGTGGGTGTGTCCACCCTGCTGGTCCACGCCCTGGAGGGTCGGCAGACTGGGAGGGCCCTGGGCCCCTTGAAGTCACCGTGTCTACACGCGCTACCTGCTCCCATCTCCACCCTCGGGGGGTCCCAGCCAGCAAGTGGGGGTGTAGAGCCCTGCTCGGTCACCACCTTCCCTCCCCCTCCCCCAGAAGGCACCGTCTGTGCCTTTTAAGTCACTGGTCAGGAACGTCAGGACCAGAACATGATCTCCATCCTCAGGAGGCTGGAGGTGGTGGCCCTGACGGCGCTGCCCCTCCCACAGCGGCTGTGGGGCAGCCCTTTCCCTCGCTTCCCCAGCTGCTCAGCCAGGAGAGGGTCGCAGAGCCCTGCCTCGGCCCTCGGAGGAGCTCTTGACAGCTCTGATACTGCAAACTCTGGGCTGTTCATTTGTGAGCCTTCATGTTTCTGTCTCAAGGAGGGACACACGGGCAGTGACACAAGGCATACAGGTGGTAAGTGGCTTTCATGAGACGGAGAAGATGGGCAGCAGGCTGTTCCCGGGACTGTTGGCTCCTGGGGCTGGACAGAGCCAGGGGATGAGGGCCACCAGCCTCCAGGCCGCTCACAGGATTCTGGCCTCACCATGGGTACGGGGAGGCAGACGTGATCCAGCTTGAGAAGGTCCCTCCAACTGCGGGTCATAGGCTTGCGGGCCAGCAGTGGTGGCCCTTCTCACCTGTGTCGAGAGTGGCTAACTTTTCTCTAAAGGGCCAGAGAGTATTTTAGCTTTTCAGGTCATAATGATTGTCAGTTCTGCCATCGTAGCTCAGAAACAGCCAGAGACATCTAAACCAATGGGCATGATCATGTTCCAATAAAAATGTCCTGTGGACACTGAGATTTTAAGTTCACGTCACAAAATTTGTTTCAACCACTTAAAACCCATTCTCAGCTCCAGGGCCGTACAAAACCATTTGGGGGTGGGCGGTGGCTCTAAGTGCTACACCTCCCTGTGCACCTGCAGGGCTCCCTCAGGCTGCAGAGGGACCGTCCACCTTCACCTGCGGTCAGTCTCTACCCCAGACCTGGACTTGAGGGCAGGGGCCAGCCCAACCCAGCTTTGTCCCCAGGCAAGAACAAGACCTTGTACAGATGTTTGCACCCGGAAAATTACAACTGTGTTGACCTTATTTAGATCTCTGTGGAAACTCTTTTTGCTGGAGAATTTTCTCTCTTCTGTGGGCCTCTGAAGCCTCGCCTCAAAGCCTGGATGTGCCCCAAATGCATCATTCATTCATTCATTCAACAAATATTTCCCAGGCTCTGAGTGCAAGCCACACACACAAGGGGACACAGGGATGTGAAAACCCACCTGGGCTCTGCACACCCCCCCCCCATGTTATTTGTGAAGCTTCCAGAATGCTCAAAATGTCATAAATCAAAGCTTAATCTGATAATTGAGACAAAAAGCAATTTCAGGTCAAAATTAGGGGTCTAATTTATTGTCTCCAAAAGAGAAACCCAAAGTATTTAAAGATCTACTCTGGAATAAGTTCTGGAAATTCTGTTTTGGGGCCATGTTGGGCGTCTTGAGGGATCTAGTTCCCCAAGGATTGAACCTGGCCCCGCACACAGTGAAAGCTGGGTCCTGACCATTGGACCACCCGGGAATTCCCGGAAATTCTTTAAATGACTTTAGTTTTGCATTTACTGAAGCCCCAAATTGGGAGCTATAGCTTGAAAGTAGAGCAGAATAGCCCAGAACTCACACTACCCGGCAGGCAGCCCTCTCCTCTCCCTCCCTGCAAAGCCACCAGCACACATGACGTGCGCAGATGCTTTTCCTGTGCTCTGGGATCTCAAACCTGTGCAGTAGTTTGAACTCACAATGTCTCGCCAGGTGACACACGAATACTACACATCTTTTTCACATGGACTCAGCTAAGAAAGGACTCCTCACCCTGTACTTCTGCAGTCGATATTCTAGACTGGAATGCAGAGCTTGAGATGTATTTCTATTGAATTCTTGGTTGTATTGGGACATTTAAGTGAACAAAGCACACTAAGAAGAGAGAGGAAAAATAATCCCTCAAAGGCTGGAGGCATGACGTTTTTAGCCAGGTAAACGAGGCAGGACTGCCACTCGGTCAGAGGCAACCGGCAAACAAATGGGCCAGCTGTGTTCCAAGAACCTTTATTTGGTCACACTGAAATCTGATTTCAATATAATTTTCAAATGTCACAAAATAGTCTTTCCCCCCCAACCATGTAAAAACGTAACCCACCCTTAGCTCGTGGCCTGATAAAAGGTAAAAGCAGGCACATTAAAACCCTGACGCTGATCCGAGCAACCATGGGTCGGGAGCAGCACCAAAAGCTGAAGTGCTCAGGAGCTCACAGGGGCCTCAGAGGCGGAGCCAGGAGGCGGAGCGTCAGATGGGCTACAGCTCAAGCAGCTGCCTTACTCCTTGGCTGTCTGTGATTGAGTTCCTGGACATGAGTGCATTTACAGGACTGACTCTGGCTCAGGTTCTGGGGGCCGTGTAGGTCCCAGGCTTTAGAGCTACCTGGCCCAGTGGCTTCAGGCTGATCACCAGGCCTCACAGATGTGAGCACAGGTCCGCATTTGGCCCACGAGCCACAAAGTCAGCCAGTCCGACTTAGGACCGTGTTGATCCAGAAAGAATCCAGGTGCTGAAACAGATTTAAGGCTGGTTCCTCTGGCCCTTTTTGGCCAGCCTGCAAGTGCTATTAGGGGAAAACAGAAGCATCCTACCCAGTGCAGAACCTGGAGTCCAGAGGCCTTCTACCCCTTTGTCCATCATTACCAGGAAGTGGCCAGGAGAAAAATCCCTTGTGGGGACGGCACACCCAGTGACAAACAGCCTTCCTAGAGCCAGAAGGCGAGAGCATGGGGCCTCGGGAGGCCCTTCCAGCACATGATGGCACCAGGCGCCAGTGGAGGGTGCGTGTGGCACGGGCACCGGAACCCTCTTGTCCCATCCTTGGGTGGCTCACAAAGCCTAAGATACAGCCCACTCACATGTGCCCACCCTGTCCGGCTCTGATGGCGGTGACCACCTGGTTGAGCACACCAGCCGAGGTGGGGACATGATCGCTGCACAGTCTGTAAAGGTCCCTGCCCTTCTGCACTGACCCTTCAGACACAAGCTCTGGGTGGAGCAGGGGATGGCTGGGGAGATAGGGTTACAGCTGCTGCAGGGGCACAACGACTGCATGGTGTCCTCCACCCAGGGCGGGAACACCCCTGAAGGTGCAGGTTGGGGGATGATCCTCATCCCCAGAGACAACACTGCAACCTGAGAACATGTCACACCTTGTGTCAGGCGAACTGGCAGATCAGGCTGAGCTGCCGCAGGGCTGAGTCCCTGTCCATGTGCTGAGAACGGAAACTCACGTGAACTCGGCCACCCTGAACTCCACTGTTCCCAGCCCCACCAGGCCCTCCAGTACACACGGAGCGGCAGTTTCCCCTGATACAAACCCATGGGCTGATTCTGGGCCATGTCACACAAGGCAATCTGGGCTTCACCCAACCAGTGTGATGGTGACCCAAGTCGTGTTGCAATAAATCCTGAAGTGACCTATGTCCCTCAGGTTCACCTGTCCGTACATGGGAGAAGTGACCTCTCTGTGGCAGGCCGCCCTTGGCCTGTGATTACTGTCAATGGCACCAAAGATTGGCAGGTCTCGAGGGGTGGTCCTGGGTGGCAGCCTGTGCAAATGACACACCTGGTCCCAAGTCACCACTGCCGAGTCCAAGGCCCCAAGCAGGGCTGGACTCAATGCTACATGTCAGCCTCATCCTGTGGCTCACATGCCTTGATGAGATGCTCTGTGAGCTGCTCCGCAGCCCCAGCCTGTCAGTCAGGTTCACCAGAGGGGTGGGCGGAGCAGTGATCTCCCCTGCACATTCTTTCCGCCCGTGCCAAGAAACCAAGGGCCCTGACCACTCTACCCTGGCTGTTTCTCCGGGCTGAGCTGGCAGAGAAAACCCAGGGAGGAGGTGATGTGGGTGGAGCAGGCTCGCTCATGCACACCCGTTGCTCAACACCCGTGGGGCCCTCTGCCCTGGGACCTGTGGGGCCCACATGACCACACCGACATGCTGATCCTGGTGAGCAGGCATCTCCACCATCCTCAGGCCTGTGAGAAGGCATGGGCTTGTGTGTCTTCTCGCAGAACCCCCAGTTTGGGCAGTCCCTGTGGCTGGAGTTTTGAGGACATCTGGTCAGCAGCAGCCAACAACACACAGCCCAGCCTCTGGTGGTGTTCTCGGGACTGAGGTGAGGCTCCTGCAATGCTGAGGGCCGGGCTGGGAATCCCAGTGAGGGCTGTGCGTCTGATCCTCGTAACTGAAGCAGCTGGGCTCTGGACGTAGGGTGGGCCAGTGACACTGTCCCCGGGCCCGGGCACTGCTGCTGGAGCCAGCTCCTCCCCAGAGGCCCTGCTGGGGGAGTCAGGTGAGGGGGACCCGGCCACACCGCCTGGGGCCCCGCAGACACAAGTGAGCATATCTTGCTGCTGAAGCCAGTCTGAGTACCTGGTGCTTAAGGAAAACGTCCTGGGTAACTTCTTTCAACTCACTCGTCTGGCGGGGCTCACGGGGCTTTTCTCATGCCTCTTGCTCGTCCGCAGGACCTGGGGTCTTCCCTCTGTGAACTCAAACGCTACACATGTGCACCTTGATGTGAGGGACATGGGCTTTACTGAAGGTCAAATGTGCCAGCAATAAAACATATACCTCATGTGAATCTGGATGCTCCCTCTCCTAAGAGAGCAATTCTGAATCTTTCACAACATTCTAAATCGTCAGTATAAATGATCCCATAAGAAATAAGTTAAGGCTGTAGGTTTATTCACATTTATACACATTCGTAAAGGTGAGTGGTCTATCCCATGTGAATTTTCTGATGCTGAGTAAGCCTTGAGCTCCTATTAAAAGCTTTGCCACATTCATTACATTTATAAGGTTTCTCTCCAGTGTGAATTCTCTGGTGTATAATTAGATGCGAGCGCCATCTGAATATTTTTTCACATTCATTACATTTATGAAGTTTCTTTACAGTATTAACTTTCTTACGGCTCATGTGGGTAGAAGCTTCCAGAGTATTCCCATACTCGTGGTACCACTGGGCTCGAGTGTGGATCCTCTGGTGCTCGATGAGGTACGAGCTCCGGCTGAAGGCTTTCCCACACTCACTGCATCCATAGGGCTTCACCCCAGCGTGAATGATCTGGTGCTGGAAAAGGGTGGAGTTCTGACTAAAGGCTTTTCCACATTCACTGCACTTATAGGGCCTCTCCCCCGTGTGCACCCGCTGGTGTATTGTGAGCTGTGTGCTCATACTGAAGGCTTTTCCACATTCGAGGCACTCGTAGGGCTTCTCCCCTTTATGGATCCTCTGATGGTAAATGAGGCTTGAGCTCTGGCTGAAGGCCTTCCCACAGTCACTGCACTCATAGGGCTTCTCTCCAGTGTGAATTCTCTGATGCTGAATTAGGTGTGAGCCCTGGACAAAGCCTTTCCCACATTCATCACACTTAAATGGTTTTTCTCCAGTGTGAGTTCTTTGGTGGCGAATAAGCCGTGAGCTGCAACCAAAGGCCTTTGAACACTTGTTGCATTTATAAGGTTTCTCTCCAGTATGCGTCAGCTGATGCTGACTAAGGCGGGAGACCCACCGGAAAGCCTTCCCACACTCGTCACACTTAAATGGTTTCTCGGTAGCATGCAACCTCTGATGTGCAACCAGGCTGGGACTATCCGGGGCTCTTGGGAGCTGAAGTTTCTCCCCAGCGTGCATCCGCTGGTGCTGAGCTAGGGTTGAACTCTGGCTGAAGGCCTTCCCACACTCCTGGCATGGGTAGGGCCTCTCTCCCGTGTGTGTCCTCTGGTGCCTGGCCAGCTGAGACTGCTGGCTGAAGGCCTTCCCGCACTCCCGGCAGCCATAGGGCCTCTCTCCCGTGTGGACCCTCTGATGGTGGATGAGGCTAGAGCTCTGACCAAAGGCTTTTCCACATTCCTCACACCTGTAGGGCTTCTCCCCAGTGTGAATCCTTTGATGCTGAATGAGTTTCGAGCTCAGGCGAAAGGCCTTCCCACACTCTGTGCATTTAAATGGCTTCTCTCCAGTATGGATCCTCTGATGCTGAGTAAGCTGTGAGCACAACCTGAAGACCTTCCCACACTCCTCACACTCATACGGCTTCTCTCCATGCAAGGTACTCAGATGTCTCCCCTGTAAGCAATCAGGTAATTTTTTTTGGCACTCCTGGCAGCTGTTAGGTCTCTTCTGTGTATTAATTTCCTGATGCAGAGAGACATCTGAAGTAGATTGGAAACTCCTACCACAGATGTCACATCTTTGCAAGGACCCCTGACTTTGATCACGTCGACAACCCAGGCGGCCACCGCTCCCCCGCTCGCCACACCCCTGGGTCTCGTCCTCAGCAAAGGTCTCCCTGGGAGCCACAGTCCCTATGTTCAAGCAGTTTTTCTGGAAGAGGGAGGTTGGCTGACTCTCTGAACAGACCTCAGGATCAGAGGTGTCTCCAAAGCCAGGACTCTGGGGAAAGTCCTGGGACGGGGTTTTGACCATGACCACATGGGATTCTGATTTTAGACGGTCAATGTCTTCACAGGCCTGCTCACTCTTGGTCCCGACTGCAGAATCTGAAATGAACAGGAAGTAAACTGCTGCTTATCCCCTGTGCTCAGAGAAAGGACAAAGACTGGAGGATGGGGCCGGGGTGCAGACCACCCTTGGGACTGAGCCCCTTCCCAGACAGTCTGCGTTGAGCACATGGAAAGACACTACAAGAAGTCAATGCCTTTGACAGTTCTCAAAATCTGGTTTCATTCATACTTCATTTTATGCACTCATTCAGTTACAGTGTACTTGGCTGAGTGCGAAGAGCTTCCCTCCTACGTGGGGGAAACGTCCTCCCACGTGGAACTAGCACAAGGAAAAATCTACAAAGAAGCAAAGTGAGCTCGATAGGGTGGGAGGTTTAGTGAGAGGCAGGTCTAGGCTGAGAGGTCAGAGGCTCCTGGTTGCAGAGGACGTAGAGTGAGGAGGAAAGAGGGACTGAAAACTGTGAATAGAGAGATGTTAGATACCAAGAAAAATGATGTGCAAGAGCTGCTGGGGGCACACGGGTGGTGACCCCAAGAGGACTGGGCCTCCAGCTGTCCACTGGGTGGGGTTCTGAGAAGGACCCCAGGCCTGAACTCTGTGGCATCCAGCTGCCGCCAAGCCACGCCCTCTGACGCACACCTGGCCATGTCCCTTGTTAGTCTGCCCCTCAGCTTCCAGGTGGCCACACCCACTGGCCATACTGACTCCTCCTTCCCATGGGTTTCTGGAGGGTCCACCTACGCTGCCTGCCCTCCATATGGAGGTTTGGAGTGATGTGGCCACCAGCGAAGGAATACCTGGGGCCCAGAAGCTAGACTAGGCAGGAAGGATCCTCCCCTACAGGTTTCAGAGAGGACGTGACCCTGCCCATACCTTGATTTTGGACATCTGGCCTCCAGAACTGAGAAACAGTAAATCTCTGCTGTTTTAAGCCTCCAATTCGTGGTGCTTTGTTATAGCAGCCCCAGGACACTAACACAGCCCTAGAGCCTTATCTGAGAGGTTGGGGTCACCCAGGGCCCCAAGAAGTTCCAGAGGGAGCACTGGCGGAGGGAGGAGACAGCTGCTCAGAGCCACGCTTAGTGCTCCCCTTAGAGCCACATGTGTGTACCTGAGCTCAGTAAGACCATTAGTAAAATTACAGGGGCTTCCCCGGTGGTGCAGTGGTTCTGCCAATGCAGGGGACATGGGTTCAAGCCCTGGTCCGGGAAGATCCCACATGCCACAGAGTGACTAAGCCTGTGTGCCACAACTACTGACCCTGCGCTCTAGAGCCTGCAAGCCACAACTACTGAGTCCAAGTGCCACAACTACTGAGCCCATGTGCCTAGAGCCCATGCTCCTCAACAAGAGAAGCCACTGCAATGAGAAGCCCATGCACCACGATGAAGAGTAGCCCCTGCTCGCCACAACTAGAGAAAGCCCGCGCACAGCAACAAAGACCCAACGCAGCACCCCCCCCCCAAAAAAAAATTACAAACTGAGCAAATTGTGGTTCAAAAACAAACCATTTTTGCCATAACGCATGGGTGTTTTGTGCCCTTGCTTTTCTGTAGTTCAGTCTCTCCTGAGGCTGCCCCACCACCGGTCTACACTTCCGGACCCACCCCATGGCATTCCCAGGCAGCCCAGCAAGCCCACGTGGGTGGCACCTGGGGTCTGCCTCCAGCCTCCCGCCCGCAGCCCTCTCACCCTGTGCCCGGAAGCCTCACCTGCCTGGGAGGTCCTGGCTGCCTCTCTCCCCTCCGCTCCTTGCAGGTCAAGGACCCATGGCTCCTGACCCTGTTCCAGCCGGGAGATCAGCTCAGGCTTGAAGACCAGGAATCCTGCTGTGGAGGTGGCAGAGGAGGAGATGGCATTGGTGTGGCTGGGAGTGCAGCTCAGCCCTCCCTGGTTCCCAGGAGTGAAGGGTTGGGGGCTACTGGGGCACAGGGGCCCTCTCTGTCCAGGTCTGTCGCCTCCTGAGGCTGGACACAGAGGAACTCCTGGACTCCCAGCCTGTCCATGTCTCCATCCACACAGGGCCAGGATCCCCAGGGAGCCCTGTCACGCGAATCTGCCTAGTACAGGCCAGCTCTAGCCCAGGGGGAGAGAAGCCAGGCACTGCCAGCACTTCCCTCAGTCCCTCAGTTCCGAGGGCAAGGACACTCCAAGAGGTTGACATGGTTAAAAAACAAGACAAACAACAATGACAAATCAACAAACAAAATGGATTTTAAACCAGAAGGTGTGAGGACTTCCGTGGCAGTCCAGTGGTTAAGACTCCATGCTGGGCTTCCCTGGTGGCGCCGTGGTTGAGAGTCCACCTGCCGATGCAGGGGACACTGGTTCATGCCCTGGTCTGGGAAGATCCCACATGCCGTGGAGCAGCTGGGCCCGTGAGCCATGGTCGCTGAGCCTGCACGTCCGGAGCCTGTGCTCCGCAACAGGAGAGGCCACAACAGTGAGAGGCCCACGTACCGCAAAAAGACTCCACGCTTCCAATGCAGGGGGCACGGGTTTGATTTCTTGGTCTGGGAACTAAGATCCCACATGCTGCGTGGTGCATGTGTGAACTCCAACGGTCACCCAGAAGCCCCAGCCTCGAGTCCTCACACAAAGCCCTGGGGGACCTCGGCAGAGGGGTGGAGAGCTGCGGGCACCCACCTTGCACCTGCCTTCTGGGGCCGCCAGCCCCCATGCTGTGGGCCAGCCGTGTGATGTGCTCCCAGCCCATCCAAGGGCTGGCCAAGCCCTCTGGCTGGAGCACACCTCAGGTTTCCAGCCGTGTGGATGGAGAAGGGCAGGCAGAGAGAGCCTAGGTCGAAAGCTCAGGTGATGGCAGGACCCTGAGTTGACCCACAGTCAACATGAAACAGGTGTTCTTGCCAAGCACATGTGCAATGCTCACAGAGAAACATCCCTGGGCCAGCCAGGAAGGGGGTCAGGCACAGGCCACAGAATAATACTACAGGCTGCGCCTGGTCTAAATGCAACTAGACATGACAACCACCACAACAAGTAGCTCAAAACTATTAGCTACCTCAAAACTAAATGATGAATTACTAAGGGGTATTTACTATAAGTAAATTATATTTACTATAAGTCAAAATTTGTAGGGCGCAGCTGAAGCAGTACTTACAGATAAAATTTCACATTTTAAAACATGTTGACCAGAAACAAGAATGATTGGGGGCTTCCCTGGTGGTGCAGTGGTTAAGAATCCACCTGCCAGTGCAGGGGACACGGGTTCGAGCCCTGGGCTGGGAAGATCCCACATGCCGTGGAGCAACTAAGCCCGTGCGCCACAACTACTGAGCCTGTGTTCTAGAGCCCGCAAGCCACAACTACTGAGCCTGTGTTCTAGAGCCCGCAAGCCACAACTACTGAGCCTGTGTTCTAGAGCCCGCAAGCCACAACTACTGAGCCTGTGTTCTAGAGCCCGCAAGCCACAACTACTGAGCCCGTGTGCCACAACTACTGAAGCCTGTACGCTTAGAGCCGTGCTCCGTAACAAGAGAAGCCACCACAGTGAGAAGCCCATGCACCGCAACGAAGAGTAGCCCCGTTCACCGCAGCTAGAGAAATCCTGCGTGCAGCAACAAAGACCCAATGCAGCCAGAAATAAAATTAAAATAAAAATTAAAATAAAATAATAAATTTATTTAAAAAAATAAACAAGAATGATAAACACAGAAGAAGTAAATATTAAATTCAAGGAGTTGTAAACAAAACAACACAGCAAACACAAATAAATAAAAAGGGAGAAAATAATAAAAGTGGGCAAAATTCAATGAAAGAGCACCCCCTCCCCCCAAAAAACCCCAAAAGCTGGTTCTTCAAAAAGATAAAAAGAATAGTCTTGTGGCAAAACCAATCACAGGGACTTCCCTGGTGGTCCAGTGGGTAAGACTCTGTGCTCCCAATGCAGAGGGCCTGGGTTCCATCCTTGGTGGGGGAACTAGATCCCACATGCATGCCACACCTACGAAGTCCGCATGCTGCAACTAAGAGTCCACATGCCACAACGAAAAGATCCTGTGTGCTGCAACAAAGACCCAGTGCAGCCAACATAAATAAATATTTTTTTAAAAAAATAAGTCAACACAGTGAAAAGATTCTGCTAAAAAATAAAATAATGGAAACAAACACAAACATAATAGAGATTAAAAATAAAGAGTACTACGAACAAATACATGCTAAAAAAACTGAAAATCTGAATAAGTAGATCTATCTGTACAAAAACTAGAAATGACAAAATTGGCACAGGGGAAAATCCGTAAGCTTGATAGACCATGAGGCATTAAGAAAACGTAAATTCTAGTCAAAGACCTTCCTTCCCCAAGGGCCCAAGGCCCAGGTGGTTTTACAGGTGAGTTCAACCAAAAACTCGAAGGTTCAATTAATTCCATCTATATAAATTCTTCCAGAAATTAAGAAAGAGAGCAAAAGCTTCCCAGCTCATTTTATGAAACTTATATGCAAAAAATGTCAAACTATATAATGACAATTCACCAAAAAAAAAAAAAAACAACAAACAAAAAACCATACAAGTCCATTTGGCTTAGGAACAGGGATGCAAAAATCCAAAATACAATACTGACTACCTGAGTCCAAAAGGTTATCAGAATGCATATGTAAATATCATGACTTATGTAGAGTTTATTCCAGGAATATAAGGAAATATGCCAATGTAATTTATTAGGCTAACAGGCTAAGGAAAAAAAAACATATGGACATCTCAATTAATGTAGGAAAAGAATTTGAAATATCCACCTGCCAATGCAGCGAACACGGGTTCTATCCCTGCTCCGGGAAGATCCTACATGCCGCGGGGCAACTAAGCCGGTGCACCACAACTACTGAATGTGCACTCTAGAGCCTGTGAGCCACAACTACCGAAGCCCGCGCGCCTAGAGCCTGTGCTCCGCAACAATAGAAGCCACTACAATGAGAAGCCTGCACACCGCAACAAAGAGTACCCCCGCTCGCCGCAACTAGAGAAAGCCCGCGCACGGCAACGCAGCCAAAAAACCACAGAAAAACAAAACACCAAAACTCTTCAGCCAACTTCTGTCCTTAGTTACATGCATTCCCTTTAAAATCAGAACAAAACAATCATGCCCACAGCACTCCTAACAGCACGGGCGCTCTGGCCATTGCTAAGTATCAGGACACATGGGGGCCAGGAGGGAAAACACCAAGCTTTCACTTGCAGGCCCCTCCTTAGAACATGATACCAGAACTAGCAGGGAGTCCAATGAAGTGGCCAAATACAAGGTCTATCCTCCAAAATCAAGAGCATTTCTCTATAGCAGCAATAATCAGCTAGAAATATAACATAACAATGATACACTCACAAAACAACCTAAACTGAAAATCAAACACCAGACCACTATGGAGGCAATGCCCACACTCTGCTAACGTCTGCAGAGGTAAGTAGATAAGTGGAGACACAATGCATGGTCTTGGGTGGGAACAGTTAACAGAAAGGTGCCAGTTCTCCTCACACTATCTACAAATTCAAACCACTCCCCTATAAAAATTCCAGTGCAATTTTCAAGGAACTCAAACTTATTCTAAAGTTACACGAAAAAACTACTCTGTTAGCCGTGAGTAAGTAAGTAAAATTTTAAAAAGAATAAAGAGCGAGAGCTGCCCCACCAGATATTAACATGCCACAAGCCAAAGTAATAAAAAGTAACACTAATAACAGAACAACCTAACAAAAAGCAGAGAGCTGGCCCATAACAGACCAGAGCTCAGAAACACACCATCACACATATGAAAAAGGCAGCTCCACAAATCAACTGTAAAGGATGGATTGTTTAGTGCTGGGGAAATGGCTCAGTGTGTGGACAAAGATAAAAAAGGATTCTTGGGGCTTCCCTGGTGGTGCAGTGGTTAAGAATCCACCTGCCAGTGCAGGGGACACGGGTTCAAGCCCTGGTCCGGGAAGATCCCACATGCCGTGGAGCAACTAAGCCCCTGCGCCACAGCTACTGAGCTTGCGCTCTAGAGCCCGTGACCCACAACTACTGAGCCTGCGTGCCACAACTACCGAAGCCCACACGCCTAGAGCCCATGCTCTGCAACGAGAAGCCCGCACACAGCAACGAAGACTGAATACAACCAAAAATAAATAAAATAAAACAATAAATAAATATATATAACAGAGGCCTGGCTAGGTGGGTGCTGACCAATGACGCAGGGGGTAAGGGTGTCCAGATGAAGCCTCACCTAGTCCGGCCACACTGCTGTGGTTCTCGAGCATCACCTCCTTGTAGAGGGCCCTCTGGCCAGGGTCCAGACACTGCCATTCCTCCCGTGAGAAGTGCACAGCCACATCACCAAACGTCACAGCCTCCTGAAAGGACACACACCAGTCCCCCAGGGACCCCTGGGTGTCTCAGGCACATGGACCACAAGGTTGGGTGAGACAGTCACCAGGCCCCTTTGGCTCTAAAATCAAGGGAAGGAGGGAATTCCCTGGCGGTCCTGTGGTTAGGACTCCGCACTTCCACTGCAGGGGGCATAGGTTAGATCCCTGGTCAGGGAACTAAGATCATGCAAGCCACGCAGTGTAGCCGAAAGAGTAATAATAATAAAAGAAAAGAAAATCAAGGGGAGGGACAGTATGGAGAAGGGGGAGGGATCCAGACTACGGTGATATACAACCTTCCCCTGAGAGCCTCAGGCAGGGCCCGGTCTGGGCAGGTGTTTGCTCACTACCTTGGCAATGGGCATGCCGGAGACCGGCAAGGGTCACAGTGTGGAGCCAAGGGAGGGTCTAGGTCCAGGCCCAGCAGGCAGGGAGGGTGCCCAAAGGAGGAGGAAGGGGCCCTCCCAGAACGAGGGAGGGAACGGGGAAGTCAGACTCCTACCATGCGTCTGCGTGGGTGGGGATCTGCGTGTCCCAGCCGAGAGACCTGCTGGAAGTTATGAAAAGGTCAGTGATCAGTATCCTGGAGGCCCCAACCCCTGACTTCCGGGCTAACCGAGGGGCGTGGTACTACGTTCCCCCATCCTTTACCTCCAACCCCAGGTGTTCTCTGGCAGGGACTTGGGGCGGGGCCAAAGTCGCCATGGCACCTGAGTACCTGCCCCCTGAAGCTCCATTCATCTTTCAGAGTGTGTAGTTGTATGAATCACTCCACAAACATGTAAAATGGGTGGCTGCCACGGGTGCCAGGTGCTCAACCAAGCAATGGGGATACAGTAGTTAACAGTACACAAAGACTTTGCGTTCACGGAGCAGTCTACTGGAAAAGAGAGTTAAGTGACCACACAAATGCAAAATTACAGCTGTGATAATAGCCCCGAAGCACAAGAAACTCTGAAAGCACTTAAACTAGGAAATCCTGACTTAGTCTGATGGGTCACTTCCCCTAGGTGCTAACTCGGCCAAGGTAATGGAGGTGGGGAGGGCACTGCAGGCAGCAGGAACAACGTGTGGAAAAGGCAGGAGGCAGGAAAAACCGGGGCTGAATGAGCTTGTGGGGCCGCAAGAGGAAGCATGATGCGATTGGAGGCTCGAATAGACAGGAACCGGAAGGACGGACTGCAGGGACAAGTGGAGTGGACACAGGACCCCACCCCAACCCCAGTACATAAACTTGGCCCCTCCGCAGGCATCTCCCTGGGAGGTCAGAATGAGAAGCGGGCTTCCTAGGGGAGCTTTTGGCTCTCAAATCGGCTTGAGGGCCGAAGCCCCAGGCCGTGAGGTCAGCAAGGCTAAGGCAGCAGTGACCACTGTCAGGTGGGTCCCCACCTGGGCCTGGCCAGTGCTGTATCCTAGGTCCCCTGTAGGGAACCGCAGGCCCTTAGCGGCAACCAGAATTCAGAAAAAATACATATCTTACTCCCCCAAGGTACAGCCCTTTTTGCCACCCTCACTAAGTCTAGGTCTTCGACGGGCAGTGAGGGAGGGAAAAAGAGTGCCCTAGAGGGAGATGATTATGCAGGTAGGATAAGCAAGGATGCCCCTGGAGCAGGCCTAGAACCGGCGGGAAGGTTACGAGGCTGCCGCGAGGCCGGATCTGCGGGCTACAAGCCCGACACAGTGCACATCAAGAGCCACGAACAGCATCACTGTGTCCACAGGAGGAAGAGAAACATGCTCACCCCTTCATTTGACACATGGGACAAAGTGACCCCCCTGGGAGATACGGCACACTTTGGGGATGGTCAGCTCCTTTGTTTAAGTTTAAGGAAGATAACATGTGTTTGAAAAAGGAAGGTGGTTCTGTGCAATGATGGATTCCCCGCGAAGAGGCCGGGGGAGCGTGGGGCCTGCAGAGTCGGAGGCGGGAGGACGCTGGGGCTGGTAGGCGGCCTCTCCGCCCGAGGGCGAAGAGCACGTGGGGCGCCCCGACACTAATCCGCGCGGGTTGCATCGACTCACCCTCCCCGGGACCGCTCGAGGACCCACCCGCGGGACGACGCCGGAAATGGGCCTCGGCCGCCCGCGGCCGCTCTGCCCTGCAGCCTTCCGGCCGTTCTGGGCGGTTCGGAGGCTCGGCCAACTCGGTGGTTCCCAGCCGGCCCCCGCCCCCGCCTCGGAGCCGGCGAACGGGCGGGGCCAGATCGCTGGGGAAAGGATGGAGCCCGGAGAGGGCGGGGCGGAGTCCGGTAAAGGGCGGGGTCACAGTACGGGGAGGGCGGAGCCGGGGCCCAGGAAAGCCGTGGGTCTGGGCCCGGTGAAGCGGGCGGAGAGCCTGAAGTTCGCCCGGGACGATCCCGCGCACCTCCGGTCACCAGTCCGAGGGCGCTGGTCCCCGCACTGGTTCCATAGCAGAACGCACCCGCTGGGCACGTTCGAGGCCCCAGGACTACGGAGACACCCCCACCCAGGCCGTGTCCGGGGTGGAGGGGGTACGGGGTGCGGGGGAACGGCCTGCTGGGGGCGCAGAAGAGCCGTGTGCAAAGAGCAGGTGTGTTAACAGTAAGGGGCCTGGGGAACTTCCTGGTTGTCCAGTGGCTAAGACTCCGCGCTCCCGATGCAGGGGTTCGATCCCTGGTCAGGGAACTAGATCCCGCATGCCGCAACTAAAAAAGATTTCACGAGCAGCTGAGACCAGGAGCAGCCTAAATAAATAAATAAATAAAAAATATTTAGGGACTTCCCTGGTGGTGCAGTGGTTAAAACTTCACCTGCCAATGCAGGGGACACGGATTCGAGCCCTGGTCCGGGAAGATCCCACATGCCGCGGAGCAACTAAGCCCGTGCGCCACAACTGCTGAGCCTGCACTCTAGAGCCCGTGAGCCACAACTACTGAGCCGGTGTGCCACAACTGCTGAAGCCCGCACGCCTAAAGCCTGTGCTCCGCAACAAGAGAAGCCACCGCAATGAGAAGCCCGTGCACTGCAACAAAGAGTAGCCTCCACTCGCCGCAACTAGAGAAAGCCCATGCGCAGCAACGAAGACCCAATGCAGCCAATAAATAACTAAATAAATAAATTTTAAAAGATTGTTTAAAAAATAATAAATATTTTTTAAAAAGTCAGGGGCCTGCATGGTTCCCCAAATGGTCACAGTGCCCCTTCTCTGGGCCAACCCAGATTACTTTCCAGCTATTTCCAGCCTGCGATTGGGATTCCAAGCTGTAAGTGTTCCCAGGGGGAAAGCCCAGTTTAAAAATTATTTTTGGGAATTCCCTGGTGTGGTCCAATGTTTAGGATTCCACGTTTTCACGGCCAAGGGTGCAGGTTCAATCCCTGGTCAGGGAATTATGATCCCGCAAGCTGTGCGGCCAAAAGAAAAATTATTTTCAAAGAGCTGTGTTTCCAAGGCCAGTCTGGGCCATCTACTAGGTTTTCTGCAGTCTAGTAGATGGCCCAGAGCAATAACACTTTCAATGAACCAGAACAGACAGAGCCCCTGAAGGCCATCACCATCCCTGAGCACCCAGGAACATCATGGTGTGCTAAAACGTACCTCGGATTTCTTTTAATCAGGGATGGTAAGACATGCAGACTCGGAAGTGAAGGAAGACATTTATACTCATGGGTCTCTGGAATGGGAGGCAGGGCACACCACACGGGGCCACACAGGGAAGCACTAGGTTGGTGAGGAGGCAAAAGAGGGGAGGGAAGGTGTGGCCCAGAGCCTTCATTGGTGTTTCCGCAGGAAAGAATGGGCAAGGCAGAGCAGGTACGCTGAGTAAGCTTAGGATCATATGTTTGAATAATTTCAGCAGGCTGCAGGTTATCAGGTTATAGTTGGTCTCTAGTTGTCCCATACCTGGCGCTGGGGTGATGTAGGGCAGGGAAACATTGGTGTGGTGTGTGAGTCTCATAAAGGAGATAGTTGGGAGTGTGGGCTCTGGATTGGTTGGTTTGTACCAAAGCTTTGCTCTAAGCTTCCTTTGCTACCTCTAGGATCACCTTTTGGATTTAGCCTTGCTTGACTCAAAAGCTGGCAGGAGGAACCAGGAGACCCCAAGCCCTGAACAGAAGCAGAAGTTCCCTGAGTCCCCAAGGGAAATGTTACCTAAGGAGGTCAGGGGCTTGGGGTCCTGAGAGCAAAATGAACGAGGTGCCGGAGGGGGCCTGAGGAGGTGGGCAGCAGGGGCTGTGGGTGACAGGCCTGTGCCCAGCACAGAGAGGCCTTGGCACCACCTGCTCCTGTCTGACTCCTGTCCTGTACTCAACTTTTTTCCCACTTGGACCGGAGTCCCTTGAAGGCAGGGTCTATGGTGTTTCCATCTTGCCTCTCTCAGGGTCAGAGGGAGAGTGGAGGGCCACATGCCTCCCCCATACTCCATCCTAGGGACCCCACAGCCCACAAGTCCAAGCACTGTCCCCACCTCCATCCCACTCTTCCTCTGCCCTTCTGGTCTTCCAGGCCTATCCCGAGCTGACCCCAGAGCCCGTCACCCTGCCCCAGGGCGGCCCCGGTGCCCCTCAGCTCCTGGCCCTGCTGTAGGCTGTGCTGCCTCCAGATGAGCTCTCTGCCAAGAGTCGGCTGTCTCTCCGGGAGCCTCGTGCTCCCCTGTGGCTTCAGCATGTGGCCACATGGACCCTTCCTTCCCTCTCCTGTCACCTTCTCCTGATGTCTCTCTGGTCTCCACCCCTGCAAAACCCACCTGCCCGCACTGGCGCAAACACACCACTCCAGAGCCCTGAGTGCAAGCCCCTCTGCTCCCTGAGACCCCTGCCCTCACTCTCTCCCTACCTTGCTGGCTCTCCCTCCTCAGGCGTCACCTGCACACCCACTGCCCTGGTCACTAAGCTCTCCCTGTCCGCGCCTACTGACAGGTATCACTCAGGGGATCCACCGCCTCTTCTGCTAATTCCAGGGATCCTCTCTGGAAGGACCCCTCCCACTTCTCCAGAAGCCCCCTCCCCGAAAGATGTGCCCTACTGGAGGCTCCCTTTCTGGTAGGCTTGCCCGCCCACTCGACGGCCCCGCGGCGGGAGATCGGCCTCCCCGCCAGACCACCGGAGCCTCTGCGCACTGCGGGACCAACCACCTCAGTTCGCCTGCGCTGAGGCCCCGGCGCGTGGGAGGGGCCACTGGCGCCCGCGAGAGGACTACAAGTCCCGGCGTGCCTTGCGGTGACGGCCGCCGCTACTGGCCGGAAGGTTAAGGGCTCTCGGCCCCGCCCCGGAAGATAAGGCGGCTCTCAAGGGCCGTGTCTCCTCTTTCGGCAGTGCCCGGCAGCAGGTAGGGTGTGTTAGTGCCGCCTGGTGCCATCCGGCGCCATCCAGCGCCATGCGGCGCCCTAGGGCCCGTGAGGGACCCCAGCCGGCTCTGCAGAAGGCGCCGGGTCGCACGGCCGGGGATGGGGGCGCGGAGGGTGCCGAGACCTGGAGGGAGGAGCCGGGGGAGCGGGAGCCCTGAAGCTGGGGTGGTGGGGGTGCCTGGGCCGCCAGGCCGCTGACCATGAGCCGCCCCCAGACCGCCGCGATGGGCCGCGTGATCCGTGGGCAGAGGAAGGGCGCCGGCTCCGTGTTCCGCGCGCATGTGAAGCACCGAAAGGGCGCCGCGCGTCTGCGCGCCGTGGACTTCGCCGAGCGACACGGCTACATCAAGGGCATCGTGAAGGTTCGGGGCGCGGGCTGGGGCGGGTGGGGGCGTGGGGCGCCCGGCGGGACCCACGCCACTCAAGCCGCCTCGGCCTGCAGGACATCATCCACGACCCGGGCCGCGGCGCGCCCCTTGCCAAGGTGGTCTTCCGGGATCCGTACCGTTTTAAGAAGCGGACGGAGTTGTTCATTGCCGCCGAGGGCATCCACACTGGCCAGTTCGTGTACTGCGGCAAGAAAGGTGAGTGTCGCGCCTAGATGGAAGGTCGCGGTGGGGAGGGACCTGCGGTTCCTTGAGGTTTACGCCTTGGGTCGGGGGAGGAACACTGAGGCAGCAGCCTTCACGTGGCGAGATCTGCTTGGCCACGCATACTCGGTGGGTGCCCGGAGAGCTGTAGGAGGAGCTGGCTATGGAGTGCTGCGCTGTTTTTGGCAAGCAGTGGTTAGGACACCACCTTACGCTGTTGACTGCTGGCTGCTGCTGCTTCCCCCTCGCAGCCCAGCTCAACATCGGCAATGTGCTCCCGGTGGGCACCATGCCCGAGGGCACCATCGTGTGTTGTCTGGAGGAGAAGCCTGGTGACCGGGGCAAGCTGGCCAGGGCTTCTGGGAACTATGCGACTGTCATCTCCCACAACCCTGAGACAAAGAAGACCAGAGTGAAGCTGCCCTCGGGCTCCAAGAAGGTCATCTCTTCCGCCAACAGGGCTGTGGTCGGTGAGTGGAAGGTGGCAGTGGAATGCTGTGGGTCTCCTGTGGACAGCCAGCAGCTAGACGGGGACCTGCAACCCAGCTGCCTGCTTCACTGAAGTGTAGGCTGTGTAAGCTTGAGCACAGCTCTAAAGCGGGCGTAGCAGTTCCTACGTAATTGCTGGTTGGGTATTGAATGAGACCGAACCCGCTGAGACTCTTAAGGCAGACTTGTCTGCGCCTGGGGATAACCTGGACTTACGTGATCCCTGCCTGTTAACGTCCTACCAAGAGATGTGTGATTTCCTTAAAGGCACCCAGGAAAAAAGCGTATGAACCCGTTTGTTTACTTTGCTTTTTGTCAACACCTTTGAATCCATGTGGCAAAGTCAGTCTTGCATGGGGGAGGCTTTTGAGGATGTGCTCACAGGATAAACAGAACAATGGCAGAGAAGTGGCAGGCTGGGTCAGCTGTCCTGTTTGGGGTGGGGAGGTGCTTGCAGGAGTGCAGTGTCAGACCCTGCAAAGGGGATGACTTCCTGGAGAACCGTGGATCAAGGCAGGCATTCCAGACGATGTGAATAAAGACCTGGCTTAACGACCCTGCAGCGCCTGAAGAAACTTGTCAGCTGATAGGCTGCAAGGGGACTTGGTGCTTGGTGATGGTTTCGAGGCATTTCTGAGGTTCCTGGGAACATGTGATGCTGTATAACACACGGGGGTGGGACACTGGCATGGACCCAGCAGGGGATGCTCTGCCTGACGGGAGGGTCCCCCAGTGCTGGGCAGGGTGTGATACATCTCCCTGAGGTCCCTGGTCTCCAACAGGTGTGGTGGCTGGAGGTGGCCGCATTGACAAGCCCATTCTGAAGGCCGGCCGTGCCTACCACAAGTATAAGGCAAAGAGGAACTGTTGGCCACGCGTGCGGGGTGTGGCCATGAATGTAAGTGGCCCAGAAATGGGCAGTGGTGGGGGTATTCAGTGTACTGGAGCTGTGAGATTGGGTGGACAGGCTCCTTCCTGTAGTGAGTGTTCCCTCTCTGTGGTGGGGGATCTGTAGTGTGAGGCTCTGGGTGGTGGTTTGTAAGCACAGCCTGGTTGATTATACCCTTCCCCAAGCCCTCCTGAGGCAGGTCGGGGCCACCGCCAACACTTCTTCCCTCTTCCCGCAGCCTGTGGAGCATCCCTTCGGAGGTGGCAACCACCAGCACATCGGCAAACCCTCTACCATCCGCAGAGATGCCCCTGCTGGCCGGAAAGTGGGTCTCATTGCTGCCCGCCGGACTGGGCGTCTACGGGGAACCAAGACTGTGCAGGAGAAAGAGAATTAGGACTGGGGGCTCAATAAAGTTTGTCTTTTTCACAGCTGAGCTGCGCTTTTCCATGGTTTCAGAGGGAAGGGTCCCTGCTGGGAGGAGTGCCCTGGTGTTCCACGTATAGGGAGGAAGGAGGAAGATGAAATAGTTGCACTAGTGAACAGTGGAAGCTTCAGACAGAAGGTGGGGCTGCTGGGTTGCTTCACATCTTGACTCCTGGAATCCCCCACCACCTGCACGTGGAGCAGAGAAGCCAACTTACAAGGAGTGTAGCCCCCAGACCTCCGTTCACTAACTTGTCTTGAGCACTTGGAGAATCTGGATGAGGGTTTGGGTGCTGTTGGGTGAGAGAGTGGTATCCCTGGAGCCACAGGCTGGAAAGCAGGGGTGCTGCCTTGCAATGGAAGGACCAGACTAGTTTCTCAACAGATGGGCTTCATTTTAGGCAATAGCCCACTAGCACCTTGTCCCAGACTAATGATGGACTGGTCAAAGCTGATAGAGCCAGGGCAGACTGGGCACCAAAATGGGAGTGGAGACCCATCAGTGCCTCAGGACCAGAACACTTGTTTCCCAGAGGCCAGCCAGAGCCCCCTGCCCCTAGTGGTACCTCTTGTGAGCTGATGTGAAAGCAGGAGCTGCAAGCCACTGTGCCTAACTGACCACTGGAGTGAGTGGTAGGCTGATTGGGACAGCAAGGGTGGATGGCAGGCTGAGGTGGGATGCACCTTTACAGACTGGGTGGAAGGGCACTGGCTGGAGTCTGTGGCAGCCACTTTCCTGAGTCTCACAGATGAGAACTGGTCACCTTGGCTGTTCCAGGAGACTGGCAGGGTTCCTCCTGGGTGGTAGGGCCTCACTGGTTGCCAGGTGGCTACTTGTTCTCATGGTTCATACCTGTCTCTAGTGCGAACCTCAGTTCTAGTCTTGCCTTCCTGGGGCCCCATGTGTTCTATGTCACCCACGCCTAGACAGTGACCCAGTAGGGCTGGGACCTCGGTCATGAGAGGAGGGCAATGGTTCCTTCTGAGGGAAAGTGCACTGGACATGTTCGCCTGAACCATAACCTGCTTGCAGTATTGCTCCCTTCTGGGTAAAGTGGCCTGGGGCTTTGTCCAGGGGAGAGTTTGCACTAGTGAACAGGGAGTGCCAACAGGGAGAGTTTGAACTAGTGCCAACAGGGAGAGTTTGCTCCAGGAGCATTCGGGCACTCAGACCCTGAGTGGACACTGGGCCCCATTTATACCCTAGAGCACAGGCTCTAGGCATGCGGACTTCAGGAGTTGGGGCTGGGGGCAGTGGGTTAAACTAAAACAAGGGCTGCTTTGACCAGTAAATATCCTCTTCACATGGCCCTGAGAAAGGGCGTGGTTTTCTGCCTTTAGCTGCAAAGGGCCTGCCTGAACTTTTGTTGGTTGCAGTGCCTTGAGAGTTTCACTGAAAAGGAGGATTACTGGAAATCTGGTCACCAAAGCCTCCGCCTTGCCTTCGCTGCGAAGCCTGGGGGTCGTGGTTCCAGACTGCCACCTGGTGGCAGCGTTCCCGATCTACGATGCAGCTTCTACTTTCCTCGAGGCGGCCGACCACCGAGACGCGGCGTCCGTTTCCCAGAGCGACCCTAAGGCGTCTTCTGCCGGGATCCGGGAGGAGGGTCACGTCACTTCCGGTCTGGTTTCGGTCGGCTGGGCCGGAGCAGCAGGCGGGGCCTGGTCGTGCGGCTGCTGTTGGGCGGCGCTGAGGTGAGTGTGGGTTGGTGGGGGCGGCGGCGGCGGCGGCGGCGGCGGGGCCTCCCGGCCGCGGAGCGCGGACCTTCCCCTCGACACCGAGAGCTCTCGCCCCGGGTCCCACTGCAAGGCCCTGAATCCTACTGTTCTCCCCCGGTCGGGGTCGTTCCTCGCCAGGCCCCTCTTCCACCGCGGAGTCTCCGTCACCGGTCCCAAGCCCGGCCTGGGGTCTCTCCACCGGACTTCCCTCCCGGGTCGCTCCAAGGGGTTGCTTCCGCGGCGCGAGATGCCGCCGGTAACCAGGCGCCGCGCGCGCCGGCCTCGCACTGTTGTGCTCCCCTCTCCCCCTCCGCCCCCAACTCGTTCCGCCCCCGGTACCCTCCTCGCGGGTCTCCAGCTCGGGGGCTTCATGCCCGCGCACACTCCCGTCACCTCCAGCGTCAGCCCGCCTCTGCATTTCCCCCGCGGCCCTGCGGGTCCCGCACCCCGCCCCACCGGACGTATCTCCCTTCCTTCCCACCCTTCTGCTTCTGGCCCTCGGAAGCCTTTCTCCCAGCAGCCAAATTTTTGTTTCTTTTTCTAGAGGCTTTTATTCAAGGTCTGAAACCTTTTTATTTGCCCCATTGTTTTGTGCTTTTAAAATGTAGCATTAAAAAATCCTTTTCGATAAAACTTAAGTACAGAGAATGGATTAGCAAACGTCAGGAACTGGGATTGCCAGTTCTCTTTTTGCTACAGATTTTTCAAACCCACCCACTCCCCCGCCCTTTTTTTTTTTGTAATTTAAGAAAACTGTTAAAAACCCTGGCGGTCCACAGTGGCTAAGACTACGCGCTTCCAATGCAGGGGGCCTGGGTTTGACCCCTGGTCAGGGAACCAGATCCCACATGCCGCAACTAAGTTCGCATGCCGCAACTAAGACCCGTAGCAGTCTAAATTAAAAAAAAAAATCTATCTTCCTTGCAAATTTCAAAGTATATAATACAGTATTGTTGACTATAGTTACCTGGCTGTTCATTAACTCTCCAGGACTTATTCATCTTGCATAACGGAAAGTTTGTACTCTGACCAACATGTCCATTTTCATTAATCCCCAAACCCTGGCGACCACCATTCTACTCCTTGAGTTTATGATTTGGACTGTTTTAGATACCACGTATAAGTGAGGTCATGCAGCGCTTGTCTTTCTGTGTCTGGCTTATTTCACCTAGTATAATGCTCTCCAGGTTCATCCATGTTGTTGCCAATGGCAGGAATTCCTTTTTTTATGACTGAATAATATTCCATTGTATATATATGCCACATTTCTTTTTTTTCCCTTGTTATTTATTTATTTATTTATTTATTGCCACATTTACTTTATTCTTTCATCCATGGACAGACATTTAGGTTGTTTCCATGCCTTAGCTGTTGTGAATAATGCTGCAGTGAACACGGGAGTGCAGATCTCACTTTGAGCTCCAGATTTCATTTCCTTCGGATATATACTGAGAAGTAGGATTGTTGGATCATATGGTGGTTCTACTTACAATTTTTTGAGGAACCTTCATACTGTTTTTCATAGTTGATGCACCAATTTACATTTCCACCAACAGTGTGCAAGGGTTCCCTTTTCTCCAAATCCTCACCAATGCTTATCTTTTGCTTTTTTTTTTTTTTAAGGTAAAGGATGTTCTGTTTTTAAAATGAATTAATTTATTTTTGGCTGCATTGTGTCTTCATTGCCGCACACGGGCTTTCTCTAGTTGTGGCAAGCGGTGGCTTCTCTTGTTGTGGAACACGGGCTCTATAGGCGCGTGGGCTTCAGCAGTGTGGCACTCGGGCTCAGTAGTTGTGGCTAACAGGCTCAGTAGTTGTGGCGCATGGGCTTAGTTCCTCCGTGGCATGTGGGATCTTCCCAGACCAGGGATTGAACCCATGTCCCCTGCATTGGCAGGTGGATTCTTAACCACTGTGCCACCAGGAAAGTTCCTCTTTTGCTTTTTGAGAGTAGCCATTCTAACAAGTGTGAAGTGGTATCTCCTTGTGTGTGTGTGTTTTTTTAATAAATTTATTTTATTTTTGGCTGCATTGGGTCTTTGTTGCGGTGTGCAGGCTTCTCATTGCAGTGGCTTCTCTTGTTGCATGCAGAGCACAGGCTCTAGGCACGTGGGCTTCAGTAGTTGTGGCACGTGGGCTCAGTAGTTGTGGCTTGCGGGCTCTAGAGCACAGGCTCAGTAGTTGTGGTGCACGGGCTTAGTTGCTCCTTGGCATGTAGGATCTTTCTGGACCAGGGCTCGAACCCGTGTCCCCTGCATTGGCAGGCGGATTCTTAACCACTGTACCACCAGGGAAGCCCCTCCTTGTGGATTTTTTAAAATTAATTAACTTATTCGTTTATTTAATTTTTGGCTGCATTGGGTCTTCGCTTGCACATGGATTTTCTCTAGTTGTTGAGAGCGGGGGCTACTCTTTGTTGTGGTGCACGGGCTTCTCATTGCGGTGGCTTCTCTTGTTGCAGAGCATGGGCTCTAGGCATGCGGGCTTCAGTAGTTGTGGCATGCCGGTTCTAGAGTGCAGGCTCAGTAGTTGTGGCGCGTGGGCTTAGTTGCTCCGTGGCATGTGGGATCTTCCTGGACCAGGGCTCGAACCTGTGTCCCCTGCATTGACAGGCGGATTCTTAACCACTGCGCCACCAGGGAAGCCCTCTCCTTGTGGTTTTGATTTGCAGTTCCCTGATGATGAGTGATGTTGAGCACCTGAGCATGTAGCTGTTGGTCATTTGTATGTCTTTTTTGGAGAAATGTCTATTCAGGTGCTTTGCCCACTTTTAAGTTGGGTTATATGTTTTTTTTGCTATTGAGTTGTGTGAGTTCCATATATATTTTGCATCTTAACCGCTATCAGATATGTTGTTTGCACATATTTTCTCCCATCTCTTAGGTGCCAGAAAAATAACTCTGTTGATTGTTATTTTGCTGTCAGCATGTTTTCTTATACCTCTACACACTTAATAGTGTTTCTGTATTTTAAAATCTACTTACATATCATACTGTTGATATTCTACACTTACCAGTTTTACGCAGTCTTATAACTTGTGTTCTGTCTCCTCTGTGACAATGATGTATTCATTCCTTTCAACCACTGTGACCTTGCCTGTTCCCTGATGATGAGTATTGAGATTGTCCCCTTTTTTGCTTGTACACAGACATGCAGGAACATCCTTGTGTGTCTTTTGTGCATTAGCAAGAGTTTTTATAGGGCACGTGCCTAGAATTAGGTTTCCTGACCCAGGGGTTTGCAGTTTCAGCTCTACCAGGTGATGCCTGATCGATTTCCAGAGTGACTACCAGATTACCTACAGGACTCTGAGAGTCCATGTTTCTCATGTTTTCAGTGGACCACCAGGGAATTCCCTTTTAAATTTTTGATGGTTTGTTTCTTTTTGTTTTGTATTTTTTAATATACGCTGTATATCTTTTATTACATATGTTTGAAAATATTTTTTTCCACCTTGCAGTTTGCTTTTAATTTTTAAAAAATATTTATTTATTTATTTGGCTGTGCCAGGTCTTAGTTGTGGCGCTCGGGATCTTCGTTGCCACCTGCAGGACCTTTAGTTGTGGCATTCAAACTGTTAGTTGTGGCATGTGGGATCTAGTTCCCTGACCAGGGATTGAACCCAGACACCCTGCATTGGGAGCGTGGAGTCTCAGCCACTGGACCACCAGGGAAGTCCCAGTTTGCTTCTAATTTTGTGGTGTCTTGTACAGAAGTTTTTTTTGATGGGGTAAAATTAAGCAACTTTTCCTTTATGGATGATGTGTTTTCCGTATTGTTTCCTTATAATAGCTGTAAACATTTTAAACATTTAGGCCTTCAGCCTGTCCGAAATATATTTTTGTGTGCCATGGAAGGCAGGATCTAATTTTACTTCCCTGTGGAAAATCAGTTGTGCCAGCTCCATTTATTGAATGGTGCATTGCTCTTAACATTGCAAGTGTGTCATTAATATATGCGTGGATCTGTCCCATTATCCTTTTTCCTGTGCTTTTATAATCAGCCCTCTGTATCTGTGGGTTCTGCATCTGCAGATTCAACCAACTGAGGATTGAAAGTGTTGGAGGAAAAAAAATTACAGAAAGTTCCAAAAAGTAAAACTTGGATTTGCTACACCTAGCAACTCTTTTTAAAATTTTTACTTACTTACTTACTTACTTATTTATTTATTTATGGTTGCGTTGGGTCTTCGTTGCGTGTGGGTCTTCTCTAGTTGTGGTGAGTGGGAGCTACTCTTCATTGTGATGTGCAGGCTTCTCATTGCAGTGGCTTCTCTGTGTTGCGGAGCACAGGCTCTAGGCACGCGAGCTTCAGTAGTTGTGGCACGCGGGCTCTAGAGCGCAGGCTCAGCAGTTGTGGCACATAGGCTTAGTTGTTCCGTGGCGTGTGGGATCCTCCCAGACCAGGGCTTGAATCCGTGTCCCCTACATCAGCAGGTGGATTCCTAACCACTGCGCCACCAGGGAAGACCCACCTGGCAAGTCTTTACGTAGTATTTCCATTGTATCTACAACTATTAAGTTACATGTGTTAAGTATTATAACGTGTTAAGTATTACATGTGTTAAGTATTATAAGTAATCTAGAGATGATTTAAAGTAAATGGGAGGATGTGTATGTGTGTGGGTTATATGCAAATACTATGCCATTTTATATAAGGGAGTTGAGTATTTTCAGATTTTGGTATCCTATTGGGGTCCTGGAATCAATTCTGCATGGACACCCAGGGAAAGCTGTATCTCACTTTTATTACCACAGCCTTATAATAAGACTTGGTATCTGGTAGGGCATGGCTGTGCCTTAGTTCTTCTTTGGCATTGCCTTGGTTAATCTTAGATCATTACTCTTGTGATATTTAGAGTCATTTTGGTCAGATATCATGATATGTCCCGTTGCAGTTTTGCTTATACAGAATTAATAGATTCATTTGGGGAGAACTGACATTTTTGTGACATTGAGCCCTCCTGTTTATGGACATTGTCTGTTTCTCCATAGGTTTTGTTTTTTTATGTGTGTGTCCTTCAATGAAGTTTTATCATCTTGTCCATAAAGTTACATTTTTTCTGTTAGATTCCATAGGTGCTGTGTAGTTTTTGTAGCTGTTAGGAATGCTGTTGTTTTGGTTGCTGGTTGTTAGTATATGGGAGTGATATTAATTAGTCTATTGACCTTGTATATGGCAATCTTGTTGAACTTTTATCATCCCAACACTGGGTTGATGCTCTCGGATTTTCTATGTAGATTGTCTTTTTTCTTCTTCTTTTTTATTTTGGTTGCCTGGTGGCATGTGGAATCTTAGTTTCCCAACCTGGGATCAACCCGTGTCCCTTGCAGTGGAAGCACGGGGTCCTAACTACTGAACTGTAGCTTCTATTTCTTTTTCTGTGACTTAATGCATTGGCTAGGGTCTTTGGTACACTGTTACATAGCAGCTGGGTGAGGGAACAAGCATCTGCCTCTTGTTGCTGACTAATGCTAATGCTTCTGTTGTGTTCCCTTAGCGTTGTTATGAAACAGACTTGAGTGCTAGGGGTGCCAGCGTCTTGGCCTGCACTCTGAGAACCACCGCTCTTATGTGTGGTATGTAGAATTGTGTTCCCTTTTTTTGTTCTTAATAGTATTTCCTTTTCCACCTTTTCCCCTTCCCCACATTGGACTTGCCAGACGTTTGTGTATTTTATTAGCGTTTTCAAAGAATCAAGTTTGAGATTATTTTCTGTTTCTTTAAATTGTGTTTATTTTTTTTCATTTTCTTTCCTTGAATTGCTTTCTTATTCTGTGCCTGGTTTCTTGTTGAACGCTTAGATTATTATCTCAATCTCTTTGTTAAAATAAGTGCATTAAGATTTCCCTTAGGTAGTCTCTGTTTCCATTTCCACCTTAATTTCCATTTCCATGTTTTTCTTGAAGGGGGGGGTCCTTTTTTTTTTTTTTTTAATGAGAGAGGTTTTTTGGGTTTTTTTTTTGTGTGTGTGTGTGTGTGTGTGGTACGCGGGCCTCTCACTGTTGTGGCCTCTCCCGTTGCGGAGCACAGGCTCCGGACGCGCAGGCTCAGCGGCCATGGCTCACGGACCCAGCCGCTCCGCGGCATGTGGGATCTTCCCGGACCGGGGCACGAACCCGTGTCCCCTGCATCGGCAGGCAGACTCTCAACCACTGCGCCACCAGGGAAGCCCCGGGGGGCTCCTTTTTAAAATCAGATATTTCGGGCTTCTCTTGTGGCGCAGTGGTTGAGAGTCTGCCTGCCGATGCAGGGGACACGGGTTTGTGCCCCGGTCCGGGAAGATCCCACATGCCGCGGAGCGGCTGGGCCCGTGAGCCATGGCCGCTGAGCCTGCGTATCCGGAGCCTGTGCCCCGCAAAACGAGAGGTCACAACAGTGATAGGCCCGAGTACAGCAAAAAAATAAAATAAATCAGATATTTCTAGTGGAACAACAATATGAAAGTTTGCCAAATGATATCAGCCTTTGGAATTTTTTGTGTTTTATATATATACACACACACATTTTTTAAGATTTATTTTTTATTTAATTTTATTTATCTTTGGCTGCATTTGGTCTTAGTTGTGGCACGCGGGATCTTTTGTTGTGGTGTGCGGGCTCTTTGTTGCGGCGTGTGGGCTTCTCTCTAGTTGTGGTGTGTGGGTTTTGTCTTCTAGTTGTGGCGCGCAGGCTCCAGGGCGTGTGGACTCAGAAGTTGTGGCGCGAGGGCTTAACTGCCCCGTGGCATGTGGGATCTTAGTTCTCTGAGCAGTGATCAAACCCACATCCCCTGCATTGGAAGGCAGATTCTTTACCACTGGACCACCAGGGAAGTCCCTGGAATATTTTGAAACTTTCTTTTTTGCTTGGTATGTGTTGTTTCTTACAATTTCAGTGTACATTTTGAAAAAGTGTATTCTCTGTGCTTTAAGTAAGTATCCTCTATTTGATCCACTCATTTCTGAGGGAAGTGTGTTAAAATCTCTCATTCCAGGGGAGGGTTTGCACGTTTCTCTTTGGCACTGCACTTAGCTTTGGCTTTCTACACTTCAAGGATTTGTTTGTAGATACACGTTTGTAATTACAGCTTTTGGTGGATTTTTTGTTTTATTAATACCCGGTGTCTGCTTTTGTTCCTAATAATGATTTTTGCTTTCAGTCTTGTTTTGATTGGTATAAACATCACTATGGCACATGCAGCAAAGCATGCTCAGCTCGCAAACACCGTGCTAAGGGGAAGAAGGCAGCGTGGAGTGCAGAAGGCATAGCCCCTCTGACAGAGTCTGCAGGGCGCTGATCTGTGCTGCCAGGAGCCAGGCAGAGGCTCTCCTGGGAGGCTGGCAAGGAGGCAGAGCCTGCAGCAGCGGCAGGGCTGCCAGGGCCTGGTTCTGTGGGCCGGGCCCCTCGAGCTGGTGTGTTCGGGTTGTCGACTCTGCTGTATAAACATCATACTCCAATACAGAGCTTTAAAGATACAGAAAAGGTAAATATAGCTATTATAGTTTTATTTTAATTAGTGTTTCTTTGGTCTGTCTTATATTTAGCTTTTCTGTGTTATTTTAGGTTATATAGATGCATTTTGTGTATCTAATTGGAGAGTCTTGTGCTTCCAGGAGGTGAGTTTAACCCTTTTACTTATAACTGTTACACATCCATTGGTCTTGTTTCTACTAGTTTTGTATTTTTTGTCTCCTCATCTTTGACTTTGCTTTATGCCTTCTGTTGATTTTTTTTTCTTTTCACTCCTTTTTTTTCTCAGCCCTTAATGTGTTATCTTTATGTTTTCATATAAAGTGAATGACTGTCTCCATTCTCCTCCTGAATGAGACTACTTGGTGCCCGGGAGGAGGTGGGGGCAGATGACCTGAAATGTTGTACGTGTCTGCAGGGAGCAGAGTCTGCCCGGAAGGCTGAGCCCTGAGGCTGCAGCTGCAGGAGGGGCCAGGCTGCACCTCCACATGTTTCTCTCTCTTCCCTCAGCACCTGAGTGACTGGCTCCTGCCTCCATCCCCGGGAAGTCCAGGGTACTAGGCGATGGCAGCTTTGCATCTGTCTGCCCTGCCCCAGGTGAGCATCTGTTTTCCCTGGGAGGCGTGAGGTCTTCTCCCAGGGCTTCCCTGTCTGCTTGGCCTCAACAAACACTGTCAGGCGTTTCTGCTGTGGGGCGCTGAGCAGAGGAAGGGTGACCCTGGGAATCCCCCAACTTCCCGGAGTGAGCTGGCTCAGCAGCCAAGGGGTCAGGTCACCCCCTAGGGCCACGCTGAGGGATCAGGCCTGTGATCACCCCTGTGCTGCTTCTCTAGCCCGGGCCCAGCCTGAGCCACGCTTGGGCCTGCAGCAGCTCTTGTTGTTCCAGGCTGAAGTGACCTTCGAGGACGTGGCCGTGCTCCTCTCCAGGGAGGAGTGGGGCCGTTTGGGCCCTGTTCAGAAGGGCCTCTACAGGGATGTGATGCTGGAAACCTACAGGAACCTGGTCTCGCTGGGTGAGGCCCCCTTCCTGGGATGCAACTCATGGAATAGTCCTGGGGGCTCAGGGCTCAGCAGGGGCTGGGCTGGGGGCCTCATCCCCTGGGCCCAGAGACGGGTGTCACTGACCCTTGTCGCAGGCAGGCCTGGTCTGCACAGAGGAAGGCCCTGGGTGGGGCTGGGTTCGCCAGCACCGGATAAGACTGCCTCCCTGCCCCAGGCCCAATGTAGGTGCACCTCCTGGTGGAGAGAGTCCCCTGTGCTCAGATCTTCATCTTCATGACCACGTCCACCTCTCCAGGGAGTTTCCAGACTTCCCATCACCCCCTGTACCTGTGTGTCCTCTCCCCCGCCAGTCCCAGGGTGAGCCCACACTGTGTCCTTGGCATCAACCCCAGGCCCCGTCTCCTTCCCAGGAGCTGGACCTGCAGGCCCCAAGCCGGAGGTGATTACACAGTTGGAGCGAGGGGATGAGCCATGGGTCCCAGACGTGCAGGGGAGAGAGCAACCGACCATCGATGGCTCAGGTGCGTAGCGGGGCTGACTCCCTGACTCACTTGCTGAACAGGCATGTGTGGGGGTCCACGATATGTAGTGTCAGCTGACTCATGAATTTGGAGGAGGATGCATTATGGCCAGTGCAGTAGCCCTGGGAGTGGCCTCTGCTAAAACCCGGGTCACCTTTGCCAGCCTGGGCGCCACAGTGGGGTGACTTTCTTTCTTTTAGTTGAGGTATAGTTGATTTACAATATTCTGTTAGTTTCAGGTGTGCAGTGCAGCGATTCAGTATTTTTACAGATTATACTTCATTTAAAGTTGCTACAAAGTAATGACTATGTTTCCCTGTGCAGCACAGTATATCCTTGTTGCTTATTTATAGGGTGATTCTTGAGCTGAATCTTCTAGGAGGGTAAGAGGGGGCAGTGTTGGTGGAGGGGAAGAGGGGAAGGCACTCGGGTGTGCTGTGAAGGAAGGCCAGGCCCCCAGGACTCCATGGAGCCCTGCTGTCCAGGGCCCATGCCCTCCGAGGGGCGTCAGACCGTCAGGCGGGGCCATAGCGATGGAGAACATGGCTTCGTTTGCCCTCTTCTAAGTTAACCTACTAGATGATTACAGGCCATTATAGGAAAGGGAGAGAGTACACATCACCCCAGATTTCAGCACCCAGATACAAATGTGTTCTGGTGTGTACGTGCTGTCCCTTTTCCAGTGAAGTCTGGTCTGTACCCGCACACAGACATCGCTTCATAACAGGAATGCAGTGATCTGTGTGCATTGAAGGGTCGCTGGATTTTTCACTGAATGCATTTCTATTTCTGTGCACATGAGCTGCGGTCACTGCTCTCAGTGGAAGTGCTGTGGGGAATGGTGTGCTGTGGGGAATGGTGTCCTCTGGGTTCATTGCCACAGAGAATGCTGATGAGTGACTTTTTGCAGGTGTCTTGCTGATGTCCTAGGAAGGAACTATTGGCTCAAAGAATTTGAATTTCACGTTTGTAAATTTATTTATTCAAATATAAATACTTACAGAAATGGGACAGACCCTATTTATAGCTCAGTCGATTTTTACGAAAATCCATCATCCAGATCAAAATAGAGAACGTATCTAGTTCCCTGGGAGCCCACAGGGCCTCCTCCGTCATTTCTCACTGCTCCCCACCGGCCCTTCTGTCTGACTCCTGTGGGGCACCTGCATGTGGTGAGCCTGCCATGTTGTATGGAGTTTGTTCAGTCTGTTCACTGCTCTGTCGTGACCACACCACAAGTATTTTCCATTGTACTTCTGCAGGGCATTTGGTTGTCCCCATTTTGGGGCTGTGTGTGTGTGTGTGTGTGTGTCTTGGCTCACAGAGAATGCATTTCTGGTGAGTGTATTCCTGCAAGTGGAGTCACTGTGTGCCTCATCAGGGAAGAAAGGGTGGAGACATGGGCCTCAGACTTGAGGGCATCCCATGTTGCATCTTGAGTTTAAGGTGCTGGTGGCTCCCGGCCTCTCAGGCCCCTGGGAAGAGCCCTGGGAATGGGCTGTGGCCTGCTAGGGAGGGCTGAGGGACCCAGCCTCTGTGTGCTCTACCCTCTCCTCCTCAGTTGGCATGAGCTCTGCTCTCTGCCCTTCTGGGGAGGCAGTTGGTTTTCCCACCATGGATTTTGGGGTGGATTAGCTATTGTTAGGCAGCCTTACACTCGCTCAGCTTTAATTTCTTTATCAGATATCCTTCATGACTTTTGGGACCCCTCCTTGCTCTGGTTTCCATGATGCTATGAAGCTTCCATCTTCTGTCCTTTTGTGATGAGGACAGGTATCCTGCAGTCCCAAGCAAGCAGGCTTTGTGGGCAGAAGGCAGGCAGGAATGGTGTGGGTGTTAAGAGTTGGGCGGATGCTTGTGCTGCCGCGAGATTGCAGCCCTGGGCGAGGCTTTTAATCCTCTGGGCTCCAGGCTCTCATGTCTGCAAGACTTTGGAGATGGTGTTTTTGTGACTTTGGAGATGATGGAGATGGTACTTCACAGCTGGTCAGCAGCATCTTTATACCTTCCTTCCAGAGTCAGAACAGGTGACCCTGAGGTGTTCCATTTGTTGTTTCAGCTCATGGGACCGGGACTGAGAACCAGGAGTTGACTTCAGGCGAGATGCTCTATGGGGAAGAACTGGACCGACTCAGGGCGAGTGTTCTCCAGGGACCTGAGCTGGGAGAAGCCTGTGAGCCTGTCAGGGAGCCAGAGGGGAGCATGGACGGGCCTGTGGAGCAGAGAGGCCCCAGGTCAGTCACACTGGCCAACAAGGAGAGTGGCCTGGAGTCTGGGGGAAACCTCAGGTTGGGGTCAAGCCCTCTCCCTGATCAGAGACCTCACAAATGCGATATATGTGAGCAGAGTTTTGAACAGAGATCATATCTTAATAACCATAAGCGTGTACACAGGTCCAAAAAAACAAATATGGTGCGTGATTTAGGGGAAGTTTTCACTGCAAATTTAGTTGTAAAAGAAGATCACAAAATTCCTATTGGAAAAAAATTGCATTATTGTGGTTGCTGTGGGAAAGCCTTCAGGTACAGTGCTAACCTCGCCAAGCACCAGCGGCTGCACAGCGAAGAGAAGCCCTACAAGTGCGACGAGTGTGGGAAAGCCTTCCACCAGAGCTGCGAACTCATCAATCATCGCAGGATGCACTCCGGGGAGATACCCTACCGCTGCGATGAGTGCGGGAAGACGTTCAATCAGAGGCCCAACCTCATGAAGCATCAGAGGATCCACACTGGGGAGAAGCCCTACAAGTGTAGTGAGTGTGGGAAGCACTTCAGTGCCTATTCGTCCCTCATTTATCACCAGAGGATCCACACTGGAGAGAAGCCCTACAAGTGCAACGACTGTGGGAAGGCCTTCAGTGACGGTTCAATCCTCATCCGACATCGTCGGACTCACACTGGAGAGAAGCCATACGAGTGCAAAGAATGTGGCAAAGGCTTTACCCAGAGTTCTAACCTTATTCAACATCAAAGAATTCACACTGGAGAAAAACCCTATAAATGTAACGAATGTGAGAAAGCCTTCATCCAAAAAACCAAGCTTGTTGAACATCAGAGAAGCCACACCGGAGAAAAGCCTTATGAATGTAATGACTGTGGCAAAGTCTTCAGCCAGAGCACCCACCTCATCCAGCATCAGAGGATCCACACGGGAGAGAAACCCTACAAGTGTGGTGAGTGTGGGAAGGCCTTCCACAACAGCTCCAGACTCATCCACCATCAGAGGTCACACCACGGAGAGAAGCCATACAAATGCACTGATTGCAAGAAAGCCTTCAGCCAGGGCACATACCTCCTGCAGCACCGGAGGATCCACACCGGGGAGAAGCCGTACACGTGCGGTGAGTGTGGCAAGGCCTTCCGGCACAGCTCCAACATGTCCCAGCATCAGAGGATTCACCTCCGGGAAGACTTTTCCCCGTGACTGGGGGAGGCCCCTGAGGTCTGCTGTGCACTTCCTGCATGTGACCCACCCAGCCCTTTACCTGCTGTCCACATAGTGTTGTCACAGGTGAAAGGGTATTTCTGTCTTATTAAAAAAAGTCTTAAAACAGAAGCAGTGCATGGTCACTTTAGAGAAATCGAGTGAGAAACGTAAGCAAACAGGAGAAACTCCTGTAGCTTCCCCTTAGACAAAGAGAACTCACCACCACTGCGCCCGGTGTAGGTTTTGTCCAGACACACCGAACAGCATCCTCAAGAGAAGTACTGTGGTGCTTTCTGTGCAGCTCGTTTCCTCAATCCTAGAAAACACACTGGAGAGATTTCTGTGTGTTTACATTGTTTTACACATTGTAAATTTTAAAAAATTAGCATATTGTTCATACTTTTCTGTATCACTTAATAGAATTAATAATTGCCTTTTTTATTGTGGTAAAATAATATACAATGTTACATGTACCATTTAAACCATTTTTGACTGTACAGTTCAGTGGCGTTAGATACATTCACAATATTGTATAGCCATCAGTAAATCTGTTTCCAAACTCTTTTTTCTGAAACAGAAACTCTGCACCCATTAAACAGTAACTCTTCACTCTCCCCCTTTCCATTTTTCTGTCTCAGAGAATTTGCCTATTCTAAGTACGTCATATAAGTGAGGTCATACAACATTTGCTCTTTATGTCCTGGCTTATTTCACTTAGCATAATGTCCTCAAGGTTCATCCGTGTTGTAGCAGGTGTCAGAACAACCTTCTTTCTTTACAGCTGAATAATAACTGCACTGTTTGTAGATACCATGTTTTGTTTACCCATCATTTGTTGATAGATTACTTGGGTGTTTCTGCCTATTGATTATTGTGCATAATGCTGCTATGAACATTGGTATACAGATCTGTACTTGTACTTTCCCT